AAAGTTTTCTTTCCCGCCGCTTTTGTGGAGAGTAATTGTGCCGGATGCACCCACTAGTCGGGTATACTTTATATTGAAGATCCTGTCATACCAGAAGAGTGTTCAACTTGTGTTCTCCTGCTCCCAGTAAAGTTGACGGTAGTCCAGTCAGGAGTAAAGCTGCTGCTCCTGGTTTCATGCATTCTATATCAGCCTACAGGAAAGCTCCTTCGCAGTTGTTCTTCAGTAGGGATGGAAGGATTACTGCGGACCGAATCGAATAGATATTCGAGTATTCGTATAAAATATTTAAAGAGAATTTGTTCGAGATTCAATTACTCGAAAAATTTGAAATCTCGAGTATAGTTGATACTAGATTGCGTCCCCGGCCCCGCCTGGGAATGGGCTACTTGTATATAAATGCGTTGAGACCTACCATCCCTTCTCCATATCTACAACGAAACGGTGATGAATCTTCCTTGCTGACTTGAAACACCGCACTTTTCGCCAAGAAATGTAAATGAATTTACCGCTCGGCTTACATGACTATGAGGAAATGATCCAAACAATGGTTGGTGAGCTCATTCCCACTGATGTAAGTGAACAAATCAATAAATCGATTGAAGGGCTAGCGAATCGCCGCAAAAAGCAGTCTATCTTGTGCGCCGTGCCTTATTTATAGGGAGACGAATTTAAGCCTCATGGGCTCACACACAAAAGAGTCTATAAGCCACATACTTAACAAACAAATTTACAGAGTTTGAGTTTCATTTATACATAGATTTGATTATTTGAAATCTGTCATTTTCGAATCTATTCGATTATTCGGTTATTCGAATATCTAAAAATTTGGATATGTTCGAAATTTGAATATTCATTTTCGATATTTATTCGATTATTCGGCACTTCATGTATAGCAACAAACCGCCCGGCGCTTCCAAGGAGGTGCAGTCCTTTTTGCCTTCATAAGTACCTTATTAAGAGATAACTGCTTGGGAGTACCAACCAACGTTTGCCCTGTCATCATGTGGCATTCATTCCTTATGCTCATGCTTGCGCCCTTTGCGCTTTTTCCTCTTCCATCTGAAGAGCTAGGAATTCTGTGTATGAATTAGACCGCATATATGCATGCATTCTACGCACGCACCGGGATGAATATGCATGCATGTTCATCCCAGTCAAGGAAAGGAGGGCAGTTCAGTAAAAAAAACTTCATGTAATTGCTTCAACGATTTGAATCTCATAATGTTTTTCCGTCTCCAAGTACTGACACCTTTCACTATAACGTATTGAACATGAGCGTGTTGTTGTCTGAGCCGCGTTTCCCAGCTCTTTGCATGATCCTATCCCGTGTAGTTTTTCTTCGACGTCATTTTTCTTTCTTTCGAGGTAATGAAATCACCCCAAAGTTAAGCTCATTTATGTAACCCAATATTGCTAGGCATACCTCTGATAAGAACAAATGTATTGAAGTATGTAAATCCTGATAAATTACAAGTTGGAGTTTGGACAGTCGTATATATCGATATCCTAGCAAGTCATTTGTTCATAACGAAAGCATGCTTAGCAGCATCGTTGAGCCAGAGGTCAGTAGCATATCTTTCTCTAGAAGAAACGATTTTGAATGAAATTCCTACTGTGTAAAAAGAAGGTTGAGCAGTAGCAACGATATAAAAAGTGCGGTTATATAAATGGTTCTCTTTAAGTTAATGAGGTGTGGCACATCCTCTAAAATGTGTAGCAACCACAGCTTTGCTGGGGTTATGCCAAATCCCATTAACTTACCTCCAAAGAGAATTTCAAGGAGCAAACCATATACAGTTCCATAGCCAAAAGTCCGTAGTTTTGTGGAAGTGATTAGATTCGACTACTTGCTGGTATCACAACCACTGTAAGCGAAAAATGGGACAAACCTGACTTTGGCCGGCTCCTAATTCCGTAGTCTGATGATTATTCGACGTAGGACTCATGTTATGGGCAAACGAGTACTGCTTTCTATAGAGTACAAAAGGGGTAGCTAATTTACTTTTGAAATATGTTATTTGACCATATTCCAAAAAAGCCACTTTACCTGGGTGGCCCAATATCGGGAAAGCTCAGTTCGCTAAAACTTGGCCCAAGGGGTTATTCAACATGCTAACTAAATGATTGTCACAGATGTTCTTTATAGAGCTCAATGTTATGCCTGCGGCAAACAAGGGGGTTAAGATAGGACATGAGGGCGGGGGGGGGGGGCGTATAGGGCGGTTGTGTGCCACACCTCACCCTGCTCATATAATAGTCTAGTCGCTGTGATGAGTCCGGCGAGGTTTTTCCCATAAAAAGTTAAAGGCCACAAATGAGTAATTTAGCAAGGTAGCAGCTTCATCCTAAATCCATCAATTCTCTAATATTGCGAGCTTCGACTTATTCGAAATCGGGGAAAACTGTACTTTCCAACTCTTCAGATTCAAGAAGGCAAAACCAATAAAAGTTGAAGGTTGTATTATGGGCGAAGAGTACAAATTTATGTTCATGTTTAATGGCGGCGGCCAAAATCAGTCAGTTCATACATGTTCGACTCCTGACGAATACGGTGATTTGATTTGCGAAGGGCGTGCGAACGCAGCCGTTAAAGGCAGTGGCTCAACAAATCGAACAACTTGGAGTTTCGATATGGTAGGTTGCTTATTCCCCAAATATGAAAAAAGCAATCCCGAACGCACAGCGTGCTGCCCCTGTCTACAAAACTGCTCGACCAGCTCGCGCAAGCCATTCTCACACGCACTCGGACCAACTCGCGATTACTCTCTCATGCAGCCGGCATGCCTCCATGCTATGATTATAAGAGTCCCGCAATATCCGTTTCCAAGCATAACCTGAACTGTTCCACCCGTCCAAGTTCAAAATGAAGGGTCTTAGGAAAAGCTGATGTTTGTCATTTACGCCCTTTCTAGGGTGCACTTTCCCAATGAACGCGTCTGACTACCCCAGGTAAGTAGGAAAATTCAGGACGAGGAACTGCCGGCCACTGCGCGGCAGTTTTCTGGCGTACCCCCGGAGCAGAGATTTGCGCGTCCCGGAGAAGGGTCCCATTCGCCTGCTTGTGACGTCACCGTGACCTACAAGAAGGGACCGCCCCCTCGCCCCGCTCTCATTGGTTAATTGGGTCCTCCGCGGCTCTGCCAAATTTCGACTGTCCGCCGCGACTACGGCACCGACTGCCTGAATAGCAGTTAATGTTAGTCGAATGACTGCTCAAGCTGCGTTGGCATAACAAGAAAGAAAGTAACAGGAGCGATTCATACCTGCTCAACTTGAACTATTTCCTCCTGTACCACTTTCCCCTCTAGTCTTCTCCAGTGTTATGGTGTGCAAACTTTGAACCAGGCTAATTAAAATCAAATAAAAAGGCATAAGCGAGCAAACATGACACAAAGACGCCTTAATTCAAATACAACCTAACAGTCATTATACAAACAGGACTTTGTTATGCATGTTTATGTTGAGAATTCTCAAAGTTCTCTTCTTTTATGTTATATCTTTCTTACAAACACATTATGAATGCATAGCATGAATTTCAGACATTGTTAACATTATTTTTTTATGAGTAACAGCGCTCAATTTCGTCATAATTTTGCATTCAGTGCATATATTTTCAAAGTTCAACGCTCAATCTGCGCTCATCTTTCTGCTCTTCCAGTTCAGCGACTCGTGACGATTGCTGTCATCCCTGAATTGTGCATGGTTCACATGTTCTACGAAAACTTCTGATCATGCTCGCTCCTTTCCCCTGTTGACGAATTCTCACATGAAAGCGCTGACTCGAGCCAAACTATGCATTTGAAACCCACGAATTTCCGTTGTGATGATATAATCATGACTCATACATGAGTCCGAAAAACTGTCCTTAATCTTGGGCAACTCTCTTGCTTCATTGTATTCCGCCGCTTTTTGGATACCTATCTGTAAAGCAGACTTCAACTTGGACATACAGTTTAGAGCAAATTACCTATCGTTCTTATTACTGTAGTAGCATTGCGGTAGGGAGTTGTATTATATAGCGCTATCGTGAAATAGGCCTTTCAGAAAATATATCCATTGAAATATAAGAAGTGTGTAGCAATGTGCTTACGCATGCTGATATACTTTGAAAGCGTTCTACTTGTTTATTGATTTCATGATGTAATTGCATTTTTAACATTGCATAATGGCTGTAACGATAGCAAAAGTTATGAAAAACACATTACATTGGTGTGCGAATTCCATATTCAATACCAGTTATTCTGATTAGCCTAGTAAAAATATTAATTTACCAAATTTTCTTTCAGAGTCTACATGTGTCCCCTAATAGCTTGACATCTTTTCAAAGCTCCAACTGTAGTCTTACAGACGAAAAAAGACGGTAATTTGCTCCATACTGTAAATTCTAAGTTGAAGCTAGCTCCACAAAATGGTACACGTAGAGCGGCAAAAGACAATGGAGCAAGGAAGTCATCAGAGGTCAAACGTATGGACATTCTTGAGACTACCCGCGTATATTTGGAAAGCTTGAAGTACTTTTGTCTTGCAAAGCGTCACTTTCGTAAAAAGAAGCAGCAGTCTTAGCATTTAGCTAAGGCTTTTCCAAGAACAAACTACCACAATCACCATGAATATATACTCGACATTACCAGACAAAAAAGATTACTTTGAATTTCTGCAATGTTAAGAACAAATGATAGGAGGCGCTTAATGTATGTTCCCAACATTTAAACGGGACAAAATGGACGTTGTGTTTCGCTTGTTTGTTTGTTGCTTGTTGCGGATGCTTGTTTCTATCAATGAATTCGATACCTTTGCGCTAAGGGTGAGCATTTCTGAATCCTGCAGAGCAATCACTGGAAACATAGTGTGCATTTCAAATTATTAAGCATTAGTCAGTTTCTGGGGAAGTCAAAACAATTGCGCATGCACATGACGTCATCTCTGTGTTTCATTATAAAGCCTGAATGATGCGCGAGTGAGTGATTGATCATTCCATCAAATGTTAGTTCTTAAATCGAATTTCTAACACTTGCACTTGAACGTGGTTAGCTTTTTGTACAAATTTATAGTTCACGGCATTTAACACTGAACATTTAGAAATTTCTAGGTTACACATTTACTGCATAAGACATTTCCCTTTCCTTTTTAGACAAAGGAAAAGATGCTCAAGAGTGATTAGGTGACACAGAGTAAACTGAGTTATCCAGAGTCCAGAGTTGAACAATGGGTGTAAAAATACTTTCTTCCAATTTCACGTCCTCACTTAGTTCTAATTGATCATCTTCGCAGTGAATTTTTGTTGAAGAGATTTCACGCAGTGCATACATCAAAATCATACGGCATCATCAATTTTAAGGAAGGGACATTTCGCCTCTTAAATGTCACCATTGGTTTCAGTTTTCCAAGAATTTTATTTGAATCCCTTTTCAGACGGTTTTCGCCTATATAAAGGCGTAATCTGGTAGTCAGTCAGAGTATCTATATCGGAAGTCCAGGATATGCCTCGCATTGAACCCACTAGTACCGCCGCGTACGTTTCCATTTAGTAGCTGCAGCCAATTCTGCTTATAATAGAAAGATTTTCAGCAATCCTTGTTCTAGTGAAACCCCTGCTAACGCTGATGTTGAAGACAGAGGTCGTGTCTTTGATAATTCAAAACCCGAATCAATCTACCACATGTTCTTCCAAGTGAGTTCACCGAGGTATTGATCTAAAAATGTTTATAAAGAGAAACTCTTTAGGCACCTTTGAACACTTGTCTCGTTTATAATGTGCTAATTAGCATACTAGGACCCACTTCCGCCGCATCGATATACCATGACGATAATACTTTTTTAAATAAGCATCTCCTTTCAAGGTTTCCGATAAGAAATTTGCCAGTGCTATTAGTAGGACGTTGAAAGTAGTTTCGCTCTAAGATAGCGTAACATCCCACAGAACAAGCATCCTCGAAAGGTTTGGGCGCATTTGATGCAAACTTCTATCTCATTCAAATAATGCTTTTTATTAGGTCGTTCTGAAAGTAATGTCGCTTTTTTCAGATAAACGCTACATTTCATAGAATCAAGATTTTCCAGAGGTTTCGGAAGCATTCGATACAGCATTTCATTCTCTTTCTAACGGTTCTAATTTCAATGCTTAATATTCAGTGAGCCCCAGAGAAATTACCAAAACCTGCCACTCATGTTTTGTCGTGGTCAAGTTCGACTATTTTTCCAAATTTTTGTACCTATTCTCCGAAGAAGTACAAGTAAATGGTAGATAAAGCAAACCCTATAGGACACAGAGTAATTTTTTTTCTATTCCTTAGCTTGCTTCTTAGTTTCTGGAATTAAGTTTTCAATGCCACTAACTTCCATATTTGGTGAACTCAAACCTCACAGAACAACAACCGGCAAGCGAGTTGGGTGTCATTCGACGCAGCTTTTTCTCCTCTTTCTACCCTTTTTTTGTTTCTGATTTATCAAGTTTTCTGGGATAAAATCATCATAATTCAGGTTTTCCAGGGCGCTGTAAGCTGTGCCCGGAATTTTCGAAAGTTGCTAGTCTGAAGCGGTGAATGCTCATTTGGTTTGTAAAAGTAGTGTCAAACCATAACCCATCTTTGTAAGTATCAAAATCCGAAGATTTAATGGTGTTTGATGCATTTGTGTCTGGGATGAGCTTGCTAAAATTAAGTGATAACAATGAAAAATCTCTACAAAAGTTATGATGAGCTCTGGAAAATAGAAAAAAGTTGTGCTGTTTCCTGTAAAGTTTGCTCTATCCATCCATTACTTGAACTTCCTTCGAGGGTTGTCATAAAAAAATTAGAAAAATTGTGAAACGTGGCCTTCTCAAAAAGCATGGATCGCAGATTTTGATAATTTTTCGAGAGATTATTGAGTTTTGTGCAGCGGTTATATAACCATTGGAAAGAAAATGAAATGCTGCATCGAATGCTACCAGAATCTCTTACAGATCTTGTTGAGATGCGGCGTACTTTGAAAAAAGCGACATTAATTTCGGGACGACCAAATTAGTGTTTATGCTTTTTACCATGGCCAAAATTCGCAGTTTTTCAAGATTCATAGCGACCCCCCCCCCCCCAAGCAGTAGTGATGATGACTAGAGCACCAATCCAATTCTCTTTGAATATTAAATATTTGGTTACCGGTGGCGGTCCGAGGGGGGGGGGCGCCCCCCCCTCGAGAATGGGTCGCGAAATTTTTGAAAATTACCTACATGGGTTATAAAAATGTGCAAACGACTTGTTTATTTTTGTAAACAATTAAAATAATGTTTAAAATTTTTTAAAAATTCAAATTAGTTTTATAAAAAATTTTTTTCGGGGTCGTCCCTGACGCCACGCCCCCTTTTTCCAGATTTTAGGGGTTGGGGACCAGCAAAAATTTTGAGAAGCACCCCAAAAATTTTTTCGGAGTGCGTGGCTGACGCCACGCACCTTCATTTGAAAAAAATTTTTGTCGCGCTCCCCCCGGTCCGAAATCCTGGGACCGCCACTGCTGGTTACTTCTTTCAAAGTCATTTATCAGCCTATAAACTTGATGATGTTGTAATATATCTAGGATATATTAGGTACTGCTAAACATGGTTATACAGGGTGTCCCAAAAAATGTGCATACTTTTTGATTGTAAATAACTCTCTTGTAGTGAAGTGTTTCGAGAAGCTTTAGGTACCATTTTGTAGAGTGAGGTTCAACTTAGATTTACAGTGCAGAGCGGATCGCCGGTCTCTCATTCTTAGTGTAGGATTACGGTAGAAACTTTGAAGAGGGTTTTGAGCCAGGAAAGGCCATATTTTGTTCCAAAAATGAATCAAAACAACCTGAAAACTCTCACACTGGGCTAATTAGAGTTGCTGATTCTAAATGTGAAGTTTGCAACTTTTCGTAACGCTTCATTGAAAAATTATGCGAAGTATGCAATAGCGGCCATTTTTTCAATGTTCTTAAAAAATGCGGTTACACCGTTTAGAAAGCTTCGCAACCTTGTGAAGAGTTGGGTATTGAACTCAGCGTCCGTGAAAACCCTATTACAAGCTTCCACATTTTTTTGAAAATTTCTGAAACGGCCGTTTTTTTCACATTGACACCATATGCTTAAAGTTTCTACCGTAATCCTACGGTAAGAATGAGCGATCGGCGACTCGCGCTACACTGCAAATCTAAGGGCCGCATGCACTAACATTCCCTCTGGAGGGGATTGCAGCTCAAAAGAAAGCTTCATAGAAGCTCCAGATATCTGGATTTTACGCTGTCTACCTGTCCATAAGTATTCCTACTATCCTTCACTATGAACATGTTGAACAGGAGCTAGAAGCTGTACGAACCGCATTTTCCAGCTTTTGTATGATCCCTGATGATCCCCGGCGCTTTTCTTCAAAGTCATTTTTCTTTCATCGAAGTTAACGAAAACCTTCCAAAGTTGTGCTGAACATCTAACGCAACAGTGCTAAGTATGTTGCTGATGAGAACAAATGAATTTTTGAAAAATCGAATTTTTCGGTAAACCCCAAATTTCGACCTGTGGATCATCGAAAATTTCATGACTTCAAAACATCACTTGTTCTTATCAGCAACATGCTTAGCACTGTTGGGTTAGATAATCTGCACAACTTTGGAAGTTTTTCGTTAACTTCGGAGAAAGAAAAATGACTTTAAAGAAAAGCGCCGGGGATCATCAGGGATCATACAAAAGCTGGATGCGGTTCGTACAGCTTCTCGCTCCTGTTCAACATGTTCATAGTGAAGGATAGTAGGATTACTTACGGATAGACACACAACATGAAATCCAGGTATCTGGAGTTTCGAAATATTAAGCTTTCTTTTAAGCTGCGATCCCCTCCCCGCGGCATTGTTAGTGCATGCGGCCCTAAGTTGAACCTCGCTCTACAAAATGGTACTTAAAGCTTTTCGAAACACTTCATTACAAGAGCGTTGTTTACAATCAAACAGTGAGCGCATCTTTTTGGGACACGCTATAGTAGTAATTGAAATTTTGGGATATTAAAATCTTAAGCACTGTTTACGGGCGCTAGGGTCATCGCACTCAACTTCACATATTCGTCGTGAAAGCATGCTTAGCAGTACCATGATAGACCTTCAGTACAACTTTACGCTATTATCGAGTTTACAGGAAGTTAAATAATTTTAAAAAGGGGAGGTTGTCCCTGCGGACTTTCAGAAATCACACAAAACCGTGGAACTTTCAGCTTATATGGCAGCTTGTAAATCCTCAGCCCCCGGACCTCCAGGGATCACACAAAACCGTGGAATTCTCAGCTTGTAAATGTCTGTAATTGACTATGCTCAGGTTTCAGGGTATGAGAAGCTACATAAGATAGACAGCATAAGATAGACAGACAATGTGCTTAGATCCCCTCCTTCCCCATCGCGGATGTACATACATAGAGGCTGTAAAGGGCGGTGTCCCGGCAAAATTTTGCTTCGTTTTACCTTTACAGAGTTTTCTCGCTATGCTGAGCTCATATTTGGGCTTTGCAGAGCATGAAAATGGCAAAAATGAGCTTTTTTCGGGAGCTCTCTATGTCGGTTTTCGCTCAAAAAATATGTAAGTGGGCGGAGTTTGGAATACAGAGGCAGGGTCTGTGAGGCTTTCAGAGTGGATTTAGAGCTTTCCAAGCGCGCGTCTTTTCTCCAGACTTCATTGATAGATTAGTTTGGAGGTCTGCTATTCCAACGCTATAAAGCTCTGGTTCCCGTGATATGCTGGTACTCTGCCTCTAAAAGGAAAAAGCGCTTAAATTGTGTTGCGACTACCAAATGTCCACTCAATTTTGGCCATTAAAAGTCCAAATTGTGAACAACGCCATCTGTTACTTGCCACATTCTGCCATCTACATAAAGGTTACGCTAGGTACATATGTGACAAAGAGAGAGACGTTACATATTATTATAAATTTGGCTAAAATTTGATCTATAACGGGAGGAGGGGGGGGGGGGTTATGGCATGCTGCACACGAAAATGAGACTCATTTGCTCAAGAGGGAAGCTACCTAACTTAGCTCGCGCTTTTGGAATAAGACACATATATTTGGAATCATCTTCGAGCGCTGATGCCAAATATGCTGTTCTCAGCTGCCGCGCATCGTTCGCAACGGAGTTATGAGGCCTCTCCCCCTATGACTCGCTCCACCGGCAAGTCTAGGGGGAAACAGGAAAATGACTAGCAGAGGTCGTTTGGTGGAATGGTAAGTGTCTCGCTCCATAAGCTGATGGTCCGGGTTTCGATTCCTATTGCGTGTTCTCCGTTCTGCAAGTCCTCAACAGTGTTCAGAATACACCTTTGTTAACAGTGTATTCAGACTGCGGCGTACTAGTTTCACCATAGAAACTTTAGATTTTGGACTTCTCAAATGCTGCCCCGTTTTCGATTGCAAATGATTTTAGAGCGGGCTCGGGGCAGAACATCTTCGATTTATGATAACCTCACTCGCCAGATGCACATAGACATGATCGAACACTTGTGAACCACGTTCGGGTTTCTGGACTACCTTTGCAAAATGAAAAACATGCAATAGGACTTGAATCCCGGACCATCAGCTTATGGAGCGAGACTCTCACCATTTCACCACACGACCTCTGGTAGTCATTGTCGTGTTTCGACTAGACTTGCCGGTGGAGCAAGTCATAGGGGAGGACGTCTCATAAGTCCGTTGCGAATGACGCGCGGCAGCTGGGAACAGCATATTTGGCATCAGCGTTCGAAGCTGATTCCAAATATATGTGTCTTCTTATATATAAAGCTGAATGTCTGTTTGTATGTCTGTCTGTCTGTATGTATGTCTGTACGTATGTTCCAAATAGAAAATTCCATTTCTGAACCGATCCGGACCAAACTTGGCACACATACACTTCGGGCCCCGGCGGGTGTCATAGGCTACTTTTCGTCATCGATCGATATCGATTTTATCGATTTTTATCGATTTTTTTGCGGAGTTCACCTACGGGGCTGGGAGTTGGCACAGGGGGGTAATCGAGCATGGGGATTCCGAATACAATATTGGTTTTCAGGATTATCGATTACTTTTATCGATTTTATCGATTTTTTTGCAAAGTTTGAGCTACGGGGGTGGGAGTTGGCACAGGGGGGTAATCGAGCATGGGGATTCCGAATACAATATTGGTTTTCAGGATTATCGATTACTTTCATCGATTTTATCGTTTTTTTTGCAAAGTTTGAGCTACGGGGCTGGGAGTTCGCACAGGGGGGTAATCGAGCATGGGGATTCCGAATACAATATTGGTTTTCGGGATTATCGATTACTTTTATCGATTTTATCGATTTTATCGATTTTTTGCAAAGTTTGAGTTAGGGGGCTGGGAGTTGGCACAGGGGGTAATCGAGCATGGGGATTCCGAATACAATATTGGTTTTCAGGATTATCGATTACTTTTATCGATTTTATCGATTTTTTTGCAAAGTTTGAGCTACGGGGGTGGGAGTTGGCACAGGGGGGTAATCGAGCATGGGGATTCCGAATACAATATTGGTTTTCAGGATTATCGATTACTTTCATCGATTTTATCGTTTTTTTTGCAAAGTTTGAGCTACGGGGCTGGGAGTTCGCACAGGGGGGTAATCGAGCATGGGGATTCCGAATACAATATTGGTTTTCGGGATTATCGATTACTTTTATCGATTTTATCGATTTTATCGATTTTTTGCAAAGTTTGAGTTAGGGGGCTGGGAGTTGGCACAGGGGGTAATCGAGCATGCTGATCATCCCCAAGGGGGGTGATCAGCATGCTCGATTACACCCCTGTGCCAAATTCCAGCCCCCTAGCTCAAATTTTCAAAAAATCGATGAAATCGATAAAAGTAATGGACGATCTTGAAAACTAATATTGTATTCGTAATCTGCATGCTCGATTACCCCCCCCCTGTGCAAACTCCCAGCCCCGTAGGTCAAACTTTACGAAAAAAGTCGATAAAATCGATAAAAGTAATGGACGATCCTGAAAACTAATATTGTGTTCGTAATCAGCATGCTCGATTACCCCCTGTGCAAAATCCCAGCCTCGCATGTCAAAATTTACAAAACAATCGATAAAATCAATAAAAGTAATCGATAATTCTGAAAACTAATATTTTTTTGGGAATCCCCATGCTCACTTCCCCCCCCCCCTGTACCAACTCCTAGCCCTGTAGGTGAACTCTGCAAAAAATCGATAAAAATCGGTAAAATCGACATCGATCGATAACGAAAAGTGGACTGTGACACCCGCCGGGGCCCGAAGTGTATGTGTGCCAAGTTTGGTCCGGATACGGCGGAGTCGGGTAAGCCAGCTAGTATTCCAAAAGCGCGAGCTAAGTTAGGTAGCTTCCCCGTCAGTAAAGCTTTTTTCACGGAATAACGTTAGTTCACAGTACGATTTTTCGCTTTGGCAACAATGAATAAACAATGTATAGTCAGCTTTGAGTCATTTTGAAACTAGGACAAGGAAGAATCTGTCGCATATGACATCTTTGTTTGCATCTTATTGGCGTGACTTTTTTAACACGTTGACGACCGAGCCATTTTTGACCACATCAAAATCGGCTGATGATCTACGGCTGCGGTTTGGACTGTTTAACAGCTACCGCAATGCCGTGTGTTCCATATGACAACCAGGACACCAGTGTTATCATTGCATAGAAGCTACCTGAGAACTTTTCGTTTACACATGATAAATCGATGCACGAATGTGCTAAAAGGTGGTCTGGGTATGCATACGCGCGGATGCACACGGTCGTCAACGTGTTAAACGTGGGGTTATATTGAGTTGTCGGATAATTTCCGGGGAGGGTCAAAAAGCCTATTTAACGGTACAGTCGCATCTGCGATCCGTGCGCAAAACACCCACTTTGTGGCTGAAAATCCTTTCCTACAGAAATTATCCGATAACCTAATACATCAGCTTCAACCTGCGCCACGCATATTTTTATTAGGCCGACAACAGCAGAGCGGCATTAAATTCTGTCCTGTTTCTAGTACTTGGGCAATTTTCTTCATCGTTAAGCACTTAGGTGTGATGTAGTTACAAAACGATTTCCCCCTGTCCGTCACGCAATGCTTTTATGAATGAGCATAGGCGTATGAGCAGCAAAATTGTAAATGACTTCTTTTTCACCATGTTACGGAGTTTTTTTGCACGTCCCTTTATGGCTGAATACCCAACTCTGGAGCTTTTGAATCATGTTCTCATAAAGATGGACAGTTTTGAACAAATTTCAACAACATCCACTCACTGCAAAACACTGATTTAGGTAGCGGTTCCATTTTCGATAGCCGGCTTGGGAATGGTTTGTGCAGGAATAGCTTTCGACATGGTGAAAAATTGGAAGCTATTTGTCGAAGTGCGAGAGACATTCATTCTCGTCCCAGCCCTCTGCGGCCTAAAGGGTAACTTAGAAATGACCCTGGCTAGTCGGCTGTCAACATTGGTCAGTTTTACGTTATTAACATTGTCAGATATCTATTTTTGTTAACTTAGTGATGGTCTTGACCTTCTTTGGTCAACTTTCGGCCTGAGCCTTGTCACTATCTGCAAAAGTCAAACTATTTAGCACAATTTTACCTTATCTCAAACGCTTAGCGATATAAGTTCAGTGTTAATCTAAACAAAAAACGAAGGGATGCTTTAAATGTAACAAACGTTAAATTGTGTTAAATTGGTCAAAAACTGCTGTTGAATCAGTCTCACCGACTTATATCAAAAATTACAAGTAAACTCCAGAAAATTGTATTAGGTCATTCGGAAAGTTTTTTCTTTTCGCACCACCAAATTTAAACAAGCACAACTTTTTCCAGATTCGGCCTTTTTCCACCAAATAGAATTCATAGTGTTCAGCATACTTCTGGCAACAATCCTGTAGTGCTGCTGTGCTTTTCCCTTGCGAAGTAATCACAGAGGAATCAAGAAGGCCTAAAAAGGCATTTCTGACTAGCTAATTTTTATTGGGCCCTATCATTTTTGAATAGGCACCGAGGAACTAGAAAAAGTGGTGATTGCTAAAGTAAGGTCTAGGAGTTCGAAAAATGAACAGGAATCTTGGAGCGCAGTCAATCCCTTTTGTGAGAGCCACCTTTCCTACATGGGGTGTGGCGGCATCATGGGCGAGGATGACACCTCTCATAGTCATATGTGCAAGTCTGATCAGTTTTAGAATTTTGACAAACGGTTCTTAGACCGATATCGTACTACTCTGCCCTCAGAGTACAATCACATTTTAGCAAGTTTATGGCGTACAATACCAGCAGGATTACAACAATTTGAGTTCGTAACTTTTGTAGAGTGACTGATTGTTTATGGCCAATCTTTCAATGCTCGTTTTGAATGGCTTATCACAATCTTGCTTCTAATGGTCTTACCTGGCCAGTTATATGCTATGAATATCAGTCCTGTCTAAAAAGGGATTGCTCCAGCAAATTGTAAGCAGCGGAAGCAGAGTCAACGCGCCGTTAATCCGCGAGTGCGACAGTTTGTGGGGTATCTTCTTATTGAAATTTTTCGGTATTGCAGCTTTAGCGAAGATGGCTTCTAATGGGGCTGGCACTTCAAGGCCGCTGATAATTTTGCGCAGCTATATTTGCGATTTGCTCCAAAGGACTCTCTGAAATGCTCGTTTATATGGCAGGAACACCTTTCAGAACACTGCAAAACATTAGCTTCCACTTCTCTTTATCTAAAGTTTTTGAAGTAAACTTGAACCTACTTCAAGAAATATGTGACCTTGGCAAATGCATTGCGCACAATAATGGCTTCTTCAACTGCCTTACATTAAAGTTTGGGCTTAGAGAATGCAATTACTCGAAAATCGTGTTTAATCATGTCGAATTCAAAGCCCCACAAAGTTCCATACAAAGCGATTTTTGCAGGTTTGGTGGGATTTCCAAAAACTAGAAAGAATTCCTTATGGCAAACTTTGTAAGCCCTTTGGCGTTCTCTTAAAATATGGCACTAACATCAAAGGGGCAAAAAACGAAAAAACTTTCCAAATGACCTAATACAAGACATTCAAATCTATTTGAATAAAAAGTTATTCTGCAAACTAAATCTCTATAGAGGAAAAAACTTAAAGTCGAAACGATGTACAACTCTAATCGCGTTACTTGAGAAACTTTGATTAGGACTTTATAATATGCTCATTACACAAAGCGAATAACAATTTTGTATCATCTGCATCAAATTTTTATGTGAAAATGGAACATTTGACATCATTTTCATGAAACGAAACACTTCATTTTTGCAAAGAATGTAACATATGATTCACACAAGTAAGAACAAATTGATAATATATTTCAAAAACATGAAGATTCTGTTCAGATACTTCATCACAGGGATTCAACGCCGTATATCTGATATTTCGCTTACCAAAACTTTACAAAACTTCTATCAGGTCCAGATTTACTGCAAAAGCAACAATTAGAGCAAAACTCTTGGCAGTACAAGAAAACAATATATTCACATTTCTTCAATCATGCTTTAAATAATGCAACCAATAAAAAACACGAATCAGCGGCTGCTGGGTTAGACAACATTATATAAGTGATAATCTTCCAAATATCATTTTTGAATACAACAATTACTCACAATCAGGCTTTACAAGTATGATGACACCTATTCCACATGAAATCGTTAAAAGTAAGTTGGTGAAATTCTCAAACCAGGGACCAGCACGAGGTGAAACGAAATGGGAACAAAATCTCCTTTGACATCGCAGAAATTCATGTATAACTTTCTTGGTCTCTGTAAAAGTACGGTTTATAATCTGCAGCGAACGATGATTGAACAAAAGTCAAATAAAAACAGGCAAAATCACAGATAAAAGAACAGAAGGCAAAAAAATTTTGTGTCATCAAGGCCGTTGTAAAGCAGAGAGGTTGAAAAGTGGGTTAAAAGCAGTACCCATAGGTAGAGCTTGTACTAAAGAATGGGCTCATGTAAAAAGTTTCGAAAAATTATGTGAGAAAGGGGGTAAATTACAATTTTCGTTGGTTCCACGCAACCTCAGGGTGCTCTCAGGTAACGCAGGGGCAGTTTAAAACAGAAAAATACTTACAATTCGTAGTATTTACAAATTTTCTCATAATTGTTCATACTTTCCTTTGGTCATCCTCGCAAAGCTACAGCGAAATTTGCTAACTCAATATTAACTTAATAGTTGTAAACAGATCGGTTGTTCATTTGTTGTGCATAAAGATCATGTTTGAACACGTCGGGAATCGTGTGCGTACAAGTTTATGCCTAATCGTGTTGGTACATGTTATTTCACTTGTAGCTGGTAAAATGACATTGAAGCTTCAATTTCGGCCTACTGGGATTAAAAATTGTGCAATAATCTGTCAGATGCAGGAATCTCCCCCCCCCCCCTCCCCGAAACTTTCCGATTTCCCTTTTGCTTCCCCCTCAACAAACGACATCCAGCATGTGAGAGCGAGCGCCACCTCTGCTGAGCCTTGTCTCAAACTATGCTTCAGAGAAACGTTGGTAAGTACGTCGTACATGAACAAAATATAATCTATTAGGTCGGTTCAAAAGTTTGTGCCGTTTTTCAGAATTATCCTCAGATCCTTCAGAATGTTGGGCTCTCAAAGCAATTTTGGCAGGAAATTTTACTCTTAGGCCGGTATGCACGTACATCTCCGCGGGGAGGGGAGGGGATCTGAGAGGGGAAGCGTCATATTTCGCTAGTCTATGTATCCTTCTTCTACATTCTCTGTCTTGCTTTTGAAACTTCTCATACACTGATACTTGCGCATAACGGATTCCAGGTTACTGCCGTACAAGGTTAGATATTCACTATTTCGTCTGATCCCCCGGGGATCCCCAGGGGATCACCTCACATTTTCAAAGTTATTTATCTTCCTGAAAGCTCGATGAAAATGCTCTAAAATTGTACTTAGGGTATACTATGGTACTGCTAAACATGTTTATAGTAGAAATGAGTGAACTCTCAGGAAATCGAAATCTTCGGTAATCCCTAGCTCGCGAGCCAGGGATCATCGAAAAAACCAAAATCTTCAGATTCCAATTCTACTCTCGAAGACATGCTCAGCAGTATCGTAGTATATCTTCAGTACAATTTTGCAGCGTTTTCATTGATTTTCCAGGAAGATAAATGACTTCGAAAATGTGAGGTGATCCCCTGGGTAACCCCAGAGGATCGGAAGAAATAGTGGATATTCAATCTTTTATAGCAGTAACCTGGCATCCATTATGCGCAGGTATAAGGGTATGAGAACCTTTGAAAGCAAGATAGAGAATAAGGAAGAAAGATATCTAGAGTAGCGAGATATGGCGCTTCCCCTCTCAGATCCCCTCCCCTCCCCGCGGGGATGTACGTGCATACGGGCCTCAGTTGTGAAGTTTTATTCCGAGATATTTGATGATTGCTCGAATTATTATTAGAAGCTCCACCCATAGTTATCCGAATACAATTCTAGCAGTTTTTCAAATTTTTCATTCATGACTTTAGAAAAGGACTGATAACTGTTGGATAGAACAAAATGCAATACAATGACTCTTTTGGACATCTGTAGGTGGCTTTCAGTATTTTGTGAGATGACTTTCCATTAGAAAACTTCATTTTAACGAAGTCGTGAAACCCACAAGCGCTTCAAACGCTGATATTTCGGACTTTGGAACTTTGAAAATTGATATGATTTATCATCATCACCAAGTAAGTAAACATTTACCGCTTCGAAATTCCATTCTCATTTCCCGGAAACAGCCTAAGGCCCCAGGCAGACTTCACGCGATTTGATCGTCGCGACTGAATCGCGACGAGACAACTGTTACAACATCATTCCATGCCGATCAACTTGCATTCGGTTGTGATACTTTTCCAGCCCGAAATTTTTGAATGTGAGATGAAAATGAATGGAAATCTTGGCGGTTAGATCGCGACGATTGAGTCGCGTGAAGTCTGTCTGGCGCCTAAGGCGCTTTGAAAATTAAGAATTATGGTAATTTTCTGAAAAAAGACTTCACAAACTGGAAAGGAAAAACAGCTGTCACAAAGAGGAAAAAATGTGAATTGAATAATCTTACAATAATCTTACAATAATAATCTTGTTAGTGGCGGGCCGTTTATGGTTCTATGAGGTTTGGTATAATTACACATAGAATTTGACAGCCCAAAAAAAATAAGTTGGCTAGTTTTGAAACTCTAGCTATGGGGATCCCATTACTTGTGAATTGTTAATTATGGAGGCACCGCGCGCGACAGGCTGGCGGCCCATCGCGTGGACCCGGGCAGTCCGGCTAACAACCTTGCAAAAATCAAAGGCTATCAAAAATTTCTGAAAATTACGATGTCCTCAGTAACTCCAGCATAGCGCTCACTTCAGGCGCTGCTCTGGAAGTGTTCCCGAACTTTTGGATCAGTAGGAACGCAGCTTTAGTGTTGGTTATAACATGACCTCTAAGCAAAGGCACATCTGAGTTATTTGGTAACGGATTGTGGCCTAGTTATAATACTATCATATCTCTTCAAAATCTCAGCTTTTCAGACGAATTGCGGCCATATGGACAATTCGAAAAAGCGGAATGGGACATTGTTATCCAATGTGGCGCTGAATCAAATACTGGCTACTGTTATTGCATTATTTGCTTCCACATTCGCAATAATCCTGCATTTGATAACGTATGGACAGGTAACCTGCAGTTTACTTCTGATGTCAATGGTACGCATTGACATTGTCAATGGTTTCATTGTAATCCTTTGTTGTATGTCTCTGGAAAAACATGTCAACAGAAGTACTTTTCAATAGTCTTTTGCACAGTTATAGGCAAGAGTTGTTTTCAGTTTTCAGTTTTTGCAATGAATTTGATACTGCTGCAGAAGTCTAAAACCAGCCAAGCTTTCCGGAACAATTATTTGACATCCTGCGCTTTTCAATAGGGAAATAGCTCAAATCTCACGCTTTCTTATTGTTAGTTAGTTTAGAACTTTTTCTTAGGCACCATCAAGCTACCTTTTGGCCTTTTTCATAGTGGACTTTCTTAAATATACTTAAAGGCAACGCGAAGTAATTCTAGCTGAACTGGGCGCATGTTTGCCTCTTATCCGCTGCGTCGGTAGCGACGGCTTGTTGCACTTCTATGACACTCGACATAATCATGATTTTAATTGTCATTTTCTCGAGAAAATGCGGGATAAATCCGGATAATGTGGCAACTCCAGTGGCTGCCTCTATAGGTAATATTTACAATCACTTCGACATAATAATAATCACCACCATATCAAGGCGACTTGACAACTATTATTGCACTGTCAATGTTTGGAACGCTTTTTCTTAATCATACAAGTACAAAGCCATGGATTAATATTGTCTTCGTACTTGTTGTTATATTGATCTCACCGCTTTGGATACGCCAGGCACTTCGAGATGACAGAACGAAAAAGGCAAACTATATTTTCTTCCTAAACAGTAAGTCGCAGTCGAATGTGGGTTTACGCACATGCTATACTGCTCTAAATAAAGGAACTTGTTAAAGAGCACAAAATTGAGTCTGACTAGCAGAAGATCTTTTAAAAGTGTTTTTTTCCACTAACCATTCTCACAAGCTCAATGAGAACCAGTGATACCCTAATTTCACGAGTACAAGTCGCACATTTTACGTTTCTCAAGCAAACAGCCAGCCGCGTCACTGTGCCTCTCGAAGTAATAAGGAGCACCACGGTAGAGGGTCTTTTGTTCGTTAGTTTTTTGCTGTTCATGCTGGTCGAGTTCATAAAAAATGAGTGCGTATTTGTGAAATTAGTGTATTATTCTCTTCAAACGTTCCCCAGTTTATATGGAGAAATTCTGCGACTAATGACGTGTATTTTTTACTCAAGAAAATTTATGTGTGCTCAATTTGAATGAAGTTATAGGTGTATCGGGAGAATGTATCACCTGAAAAACATGAAGCCGACCTGTCAAACAGATACCTGTACATCTGTTAGGCCTCATTAAGGAATCTCTAGCTTGCATGATGCTTAAGATGTCTCCAACACCGTTATAGATGTGCAAGACTCACTGTGTAATGCGGCATACCACAGAGTTAAGTCCAATGAACACATGAAATGAAAATGAGAAAACAGCAAGAACTCTTTTGGTTTCGAAGTCATCTAAGAGTTAAGATTTTGCCTATCTATAGAGCAACATTCAGGTTTGCAGTACATGAATCGTAATCGTCTCATACAGTCTCCGTACAATTTCATGCTTGCATGATGCTAAAGATATCATATTGAAGAGCGTAATGTTGTAACATAAAGGCATCTACTGGTTTAGATGCTCTTCAAGGGATGGATCCCGGTTATATCAGCAATGCTTCTCAGTAGTGGTGGAGGGCAAATTTTGGAGAAAGGTGCTCTTGATTATGCGGAGTTACCTAAATTTCAACCTGTTATAAATGGTTTGTTGGCACAAGCAACATGTACATTTTCGATCTGCGTAGCTAGACATATTCAGGCGTTGGAGGCAACTTGGTTGCGGTGCAGGCTAGTCGTCTCTCGACTTATTTCCATCAAAATGCATTACCTGGTGAAATTCCTAATGGCTACAAGCTAAAACATTTTTGCAGTATCAAGCGAGCATTCTTTTCTAGAGGTATGTGCGCATTTTTCCGTTCACAAACCGCCCAACGAGACCACACTCAGACAACGATGCTCAATCTGTTCGAGTCTTATTATCTTTGGTCATGCCTGGACATATCATTTTCAACTGTTTTTTATACATTTTTCGTAGTGATTCTGCAGCACCTCCTCAAGGAATCCTATTTACTGCTATGTACCTCACTGCAGCTCTTACACAGGTATGTCCTTTTTTTTAACCATGGTAATCACAAATGTAGAAAATAAATGATTAAAAATTTGAATAAAGAGGCCATAAATGCTTTCGCTATTATTGTTGTAGTTGCAGTTTTGCATCCTCCAACACAGACTATAAAAGCTAATACTCGAATTTAATTTTTAATGGTTTCCGATCTCTATGACAAAAACATTCTTTACTTGTGAAGCTGAAAGCATTCTAGTCTTAGAATTTTAGGTGATCGTGCAGCAAATTTTTCGCTCCGTGTTGTTTTTATTCTGCAAAGTGCGCAAATTCTCCTCATGTACCCGCTGCAAGTTAGAGGCGGTGAAGGCAAATTAAGCTGGACGGAAGCTTTCTAAAATTTTTCCCAGTCATCGTGGATTTTAGTAATCTACAGCTGTGTTCACTGCCAATAGAAATCGTTTCCACATTTCTAAGCCTGTTCACCCAGTCTAAAAACAAGTCTGTTCATTACTGAAAGTTTTGCACGAACATGTTTTGCTTCGCAAGAAATCATCTTGTTTTGCTTTGTAAGAACCAATTTAGAGTATTGCTATCCGCTGCTCGTTCTTTTTCTTATGTATCCGGCTCATTGGCGTTGCTGAGATTACCTGGCAATGTTACGAAGAAATGTTCTTATTTTGTGTCGTAATGTGTCTAATTGGATGGTCACTTGTAATTTAAACGTACTTCATTCGAACTCTTTGTGTGTGAGAACAACGCTTTAAAGGCAGCGTCTCGGCAATGCCGGGTTTCCGAAGTAAATCCTCTACCTAAGCGACGAGTGAAGTCGAGAGCCAAAAAGAGGGTCTACCAAGCCTGAAATTTGCTCCGAAACAAAAGCGAATTAGCTTTCTCTTCTTGTACTCAATACAAAGCAGTAGTCCCTGTTTACCCATACCATGAAATTTGCCTCGAATAACCATCAAACTATGGAATTAGGAGGCAGCCAGAATATCATTCGTTGCATTCCGCTTGCAGAGGTTGCGCTTCCAGCAACCATTGCTCAAATGAAATAAAACGAATTTAGTTTTTATCATATACAGAAAGCACGAGATTTTGGCTGTCAAAATGTTTATTAGGTCGTTCCGAAAGTTCTTTCCGTTTTTTCATCATATCATAAAAACACGTGGAACGAAGAAAGAGAAATGCTTCCGGCAACTTTTCTTCATTTTTTCAACTGTCGTATTCTTGCGCCGTTCGCTCTTGTGGTCAGTGAGATAATGGCCGAAATTTCGGACACATGGTTTTTACCATGTCCAACTTTGGCAATTTTTCACTATCTTCTTTCTTAACTTTTGGAAAAGCTTTGATAGCAATCGGATAGAGTAAACAAAGTGCAATATCATGCAATTTTTCGACATCTATAGCTAGCCTCAAGACATTTTTAGAATTATTTTTCTGATGCTATCAAATCCCACCTTTGGGGATGCCAGAAGCCATAGAACATAAAACGGCGCACAACTAAGGTATCATTCGATGCAGCTTTTTCTCCTCTTTCTGACGAGTGCTTTTTCTTCTTAGTTTGTGGAGTCCTTAGCGATAAAATTTCCATAAATCTTGATTTTGAACCCGCCTCATGATGTACCCGTGAAATGCGAAATCTTATATTTCGAAGCGGTAAACGCTCAGTTACTTTGTAAAAATAGTGTACAATCATAAACGGCTTTTAAAAGTTTCGAAAATCGAAGATTTGTTGATGTTCAGAGCGTTTGTGTGTTTTGTGACTCTGAAAAAGTGAAGACTTCTGAAAAAATTTTCTCAAAAAATAATAAGAAGCCAGTTGAAATTGCCAAAAAGTTGCATTGCATTGCACTTTGTTTACTCTATCTGACTGCTATCAAAGCTTTTCTAAAAGTCAAAAAAGAAGATAGTGAAAAATTGCCAAATTTGGATATGGTAAAAACCATAAGTCCGAAATTTCGGCCATTATCTCACTGACCACAAGAGCGAGCGGCACAGGAATATGATAGTTGAAAAGAGGAAGAAAAGTTGCGTCAGACATTGCCTGAAGCATTTGTCTTTCTTCGTTCTACGTTTTATGATATGATGAAAAAACGGAAAGAATTTTCGGAACGACCTAATATAATTTGTCCGCTAAACCCTTTTGAAGCTAAGTTAATGAACTGTAGCACAACTCTGGAAAAGCTGTGGCTGCCACACCATTTCAGGGGTTGTGCCACACCCCACTCACTATCCTTTAGTGCATTCAACTACTCGTGCTTTTTTATCGCTGTCACTGCTAAACAGGGCTCGGCACCAAGGAAATTTCAAAACGAAGTCCCGCTTGATCTTGAAAATTTCGTACAAGGTCCCCTTTGACCTGTTTTGAAGATCCGTCATTAATCTTAGAATATGTGAAAGTGTGTAGTAGGGTTTTCATGCACACTGATTTCATGAAACGGCTTTTCACAGCTTTCTGAGCTTTTTAATGGTTGAATCACATCTTGAGAAGCAGAAAAAGCCGATTTTTCGACTGCGAAGCAGACCGAAATTTTCAAATGGCTATAAAACGCTGAAAAGAAAACATTATGAAATTGATTTTTCTCTAAGTAAACTTTTATGGTACAGATACATTTTATGTAAAAAGGTATGAAAACATATGTGAGCAAAGTGTCGGTGCCAGCTCAGCTGGCACCCAGCTGGCACGGTGCCACCTAATTCAGAAAAAAGTTCAGCACAGCTTTCATTCACAGTTTTCAAAAATTTTCGGGCCGTAGTTCGTCTCCCAACTGCACACACCAAATTTGGTGTCATATTGTTGCGTTTTGACTGAAGACAACGTCTTTGCTTGTTTGATTTACAGCATGCCGGTGTCATGCCAGCGGCATACTTGCGGCTCTTCTCCGCCCGGACCCCTGGCAAAATGATATCCCCTTTGCTCTCCGCCAAACGATATCCAGCTTGACCTGGTGCCAGCTGTGCCGAGCCCTGCTGCTAAAGCTTCTTCTTCTCACATTAGGAACTCCGATCAGACTCTTTATCCTTGGGAAAGATACAGTCGCTTTTTCTTACCTACGCAGAATGGAAAACACTGCGAAGGCATTGGGTTACGGTACCAAATTAAGTTTGCACTTACGTAGATAGCGAGAAAAAGCGAATAAATATGAAGAAGATATCTTGATAGCCTGAACCTCGCAAATCTAACGAAAATTTGAGTCCGATTGGTCTTCTCTAGTCTAAGATCTTAAAAGCGAAAATGGAACAGATAAAATTTTTGGCTTGCTCTCAAATACATAATTTGAAGGTTATTTGAAGTGAGATTCCTAATGTGAGCAAAGAAGCAATAGTTCTTTGTAATATGCAAAAGAAGCAATTACTCACCTTTGGAACGAAGTTAACATGCTCGCAAATGACCTCAAACAGGGTGGCCCAATACTTGAAAACCTCAGAATTCGCTGAATCTTGGCCCACAGTGTTATTTGACATGCTAATTACCGAAATGATGCTCTTACGCTTCTAGGGCTCCTTTACTGTGCTTAGTGCACATATAAGATAGTATGCGAAAACATCGCGTTAGTATCTTGCATAATGTGTCTATTTGAGCTTATCTCTCTCATTGTTAACGAATATCATGTTATCGCTAACATTACTATCAAAGCGATAAGAACCCACTCCTTGACCCCTCAATGCGACCACTCAGGTGTGGCATGCCACACCTCAAGCCTGACCGTGCTTGTGTATTGTAGCTAAGTTAGTTATGGAAATTTGTGGAAAGTGCCCTAACATGAGGAGAACAGTGTGGCAGCTCGATGGACGCTTAGCACCTAGATTGTGCCCGAGACCTAGCGCGCTCGCTCAATTGATATATACTACGCTGGGGGCACGCGGAAGGCGACAATGCGCTCAAAATGCAAGTATTTTAAAATTCTTTTTCCAGTTTTTACAGAATTTTAATATGGCATTGAGTCATCTATCCACCCGTCTCCCCCTACCTTGGCGACGTGTCACTTTAGTATCGAAGAATTTTGAAAGCCACAAAATTTGGGATTGTCGCCTTCTACAACACACTCGCCTGAACACACTGAAACATTTTGCAATCAAAGGGACTCATGCAGTGCTGCTTGTATTGCCTGTGAGTATGGTGCGACACAAGCTCTGTTCTCCGAAACATAACGAGGGGGCGCGAAATCGAAAAAGGTGCGTCTTGTACTAATGAAATTAGAGTACTAACAATTTATCCTATACGGTAGCCTCTCCGCTCCTAAGGTTTTTGAGTTCTACTACCCTAATCTCCAAAGTATTCCAAAGGTGGCTTAACCAGAATCGATCCAAAATTTTATCCATATTCCAATCCGGGTGCAACTCTATTTCGCTCAACCGCTACGTGAATGAAAAATACAAAGGTGGGAGCTTGATAGCCAAGCTTGAAGTCGAGAAATGATATTAGAAAAGAACATCGAACAGAACAGAACAGAACATGAAAAAAAGAACCGTGCTAGTAACGCGCCAAACCTAAGAGGGGTCCGGAGACAACTAATCTCCAAGTCACTGGCTATCCGATTAGTGTGGGCGAGAGATTCAATATTATATTCAAGTGTTAGCACTTTAGTGTAGCCGCTAATGTGCCGGAAATGTGCTTAAACGGATCAGAGGGGAGTTTATAGTGGGTTGCTACCATGTGTGGCTCAGTCAACCCCCACTGCTCATTAAAATGATTGGTGCTCAAGAAGTGGGAATCTAGACTGGCGATGATAATTGCTATGCATGATGCGCAAAAGAGATTGTCACTTCAATTATACTACTTTTTCCTCTCTAATCGTAAAAGCCCTGGTCGCGCACTGCTTCGTAACTTCCTCAAAAAAGGCTGATTTGCCTGGCACCCTTTGGCATTGTTGACGCACAAGACGTTTTGACCGCACAAGTAAAGCACATCTAGGACTTGGTCAACCAGATCTGGGAATAAGCAAAATTGGAGGTCGGAAAGAGAAGCTATCTCCAAAAAAGTTATCTAGCTTAAACATCTCTTCTGCACCCAACTTCGGGTGGGCACCTTTTGAAGCGTTCTTCTTTCACAAATAGAGCCTCACCCACTCCTTTGCAGATTTACTCTCCACGAAGATCAAAATTTGAAAAACTATGGCTTATACTGATCTCAACACGATTCTCAATTCAGTACTTGAATTCTACTTAAAAGCATAACACTAAAAGGTTTCTATAAAGATTTTGCATTATAGGTACTAGTGCTGCTCTATGTCTGTCAGTACATGATCGCAGCGATGTGGTCTTGGCGTGTGGACCCTGATAATGCCGCCATTCCATATTTGACTGCTCTGGGCGATCTTCTTGGATCCCTTTTTCTGTTTTTAGTGTTTTTATTGTTTGACAAACTTCACCTACAGAGGTTACAAGTGCCTTTGTTTTGACATTTAATGCATGTATAATTAGAGTGTGAAATTTGTATGTTATCATATCAAGAAAAGATGGTGCACTTTCACAAACGCTTCGTACATACATTGCTAAGAACACTGGTAGATTGGTACATATAAATAATGCCTTTCTCTAAACTTTGACAAGTGTTCCTATTTACATCTGGGCAAAATCACCTCATGTGAATACGTAGTAAATGGTATATAAGTAATATATATAAGTAATATAATAATAATAAAATATAATATATATATTATAATATATATAATATAATATATATAATATAAATAATATAATATATATAATATAATATAATATATATAATATAATATATAATATAAATATATATAAGTAATATAATAAGTAGTATATATATAGTAATTAAATACATACATTGGTACATATACAAACTGGTAGAGTATACAACAGGCTGCACTGAGCAATATTGCTGCTGATAAATCATTGGCGTTACTGTGCATTAGTGACGATACGGTGCTACCATACTACTGTATGATGTGATTCCTTGCCTTGGCCTTCTTTGAACACCATTCTTATTTGATGTGGAAGTCTGGTCAGCAGGCAGCGAGTTATACCCAATTTGTGTTACTGGCTAGGCTTTGTGTTTCTACGTTCCTTCTTTTTAATGGCGCACCTTGAGTGCATATAATAAATAAATAAATAAACACTGCGAAGCCAACCCGCAGTCAGCTGGCTGCACTTATAAGATATTAAGAATTGGTGTACATCACTGGTAAAGTACATATATTTTTACCAAAATGTAAGAACAGATCACAGCTAACGAACATGAAAAAAATATTTTGAGTGTCAACTATGATGAGGGAATTATAGTGAGGATGTATAGAGAAACTTGTAAAAACAAAGTATCTGGAGAGAAATTTCAGGCAAGAATGCAGACGAAGACAAGTCTTCCAAGTGCAAAAATTGCAATCAGCGTAAGCCATCATCGTGGTTCGCTTTAGAGTCAATTACTTTCAATAATTCTACATTTTGAGATCTCCTAGACGAGGTGATGTCAGTGAATCTTGAACTTCCAGCAGCTATCGAGAAGGGGTGTGGTGCAAGAGGAACGATAGCAATTGCCAGCCGCTGCTGCCAATGCAATAATTGCCTCAAAATGCGCAGATTTCAGACTTACAAACTTGAGTAAAATTGGAGTAAATGCTTTACTCGACGAGATCTGCTCAGAGCCCAGTGATAATTCAGTGATAATTGCAGTTTGGTAATGTTATTGCAGGAAAAAACTTAGAATAATTGAAATTTCACCTTTGTAACTCTTTTTTGGTATTTAAAAATTATTTTCACATCTCATTTTCAAGCGAACAGAATCTATCTCATTCCCTTGTTCACACGAAAGTTTAATAGGAGGAAATGCTCTAAATTTCTGCGTGCTGGCGGACAAAAATGACGTTAAAAGATGCGCGAGTTATTGACACCCGCAAGCTATCGTTCCTCTTGCTCGCCACCCTTCGAGAAGTAGTAAAAACTAACGGATCAATAATTCATAGTCTTGTATTGAGAAAAATGAGAATAAGTGTCAGTAGATAATAAAAAGCTTTATTTTGCACGCAAAGAAGGAAACAGACAACTGAATAACGCTGTGAATTTTGTTCAATGTTGAATCCAGCTCTTTTTCGAGTGCTTAATGCTGATAGCTACACGATAATTTTATTTTTGTTATCTCTTTGAATCTGCCGTTATGAGGATCAAATTATTACCAAAAGTCATCATTAGAAACTCAGTTTAGTCGACTTTGTGAAATCCAAGCCAAAACAAACTCTTAGTCCTAAAACCCACTGGCACTTAGATTGCTGGAGGAAATGCTAGGGCACAGCGCTGGCATTTCGCCAAGATAAAGGACTGAGGAGAGTGAAAAGAAGCAGACATGGACTCTTAGCACAAACCTTACATAAATAAAACTCAAAGTCTGTGAGGACCTTCGTTAGGATGTTCATTCGTTATAGAAACTCCCACTGTTGAAAGTGCTAAAAGTTTGTACACCTAGGTTTTCGATCATGGCACAGGTAGCCTATCTTTTGCGGCGTGTCACTGTGTTCTTCTATCGATTTATTGATCTCTTTACGTACTATCAAAAAAATAAAGTGCTTTTCCATAGCCTAAACTTCGCTAAAGTTCATTTCAGTCTCAGATCACAAGGACGCGTGAATCGAAATGGAATGGAGGTGAGTCATCCATAAAATGGAAGGGTGTGCTGACAACTAAAACTGCTCTACCTTTCCCAAACACACAATGGTCCGGGCTGGACCAACCAGCTAGTATGTCATATTGTAGCAGTGAAACCAGCACGAAGCGTTGCGAAGCGGAACCTACCTTCAGTTTCTGCCTCAACTGCGATGGTTACTGTAGGCATCCAGAAGCGTTCAAAACTTTGTAATGACAGATATCACGTCGCTTTGATCTATTTACTAACAAAAAGTTCGCATGGACCAAATTTCGCAGAAAAGGGCTTTTTGAGTCTTCTCAGTCGTTAAAATTTTATATTTACCAAAGTTGCCATCAGATAGAGCAGAGCTTACGTGCGAAGTCAATGCTATTTCTGATTTGACCAGTCCAGAATGCGTGAATTTCTTCCACTTCTCCACCAACCAGACGGTTTGCGCATGTTTGTCGCCCACTAAATAAATCTCGATTATGTCCGCGTAGTACCCCATTCATCTTATTTGACCTAGTTCTTCTAATCATTCAGAAGAACTTTCTAGGGTGAACCTAATACCACTCACCTTCCCGTGCTTTAGTTAGCCAGCTGAACAGTCAGTCGGCTGAGTGCCATGGCCAGTTTAACTGAATGTCACTTAGCCGAAGGTAGGGCTCTATGGTGAACCGAGGAAGATAGTGTGCAAAAGATGAGAATAAGTAAGTAAGTTGCTCGCAAGTTACGGAAGAAACTAGGCTGACGCATTGTTGCCGTACAAGATCGCGCAAAACTGCACAACGGGGCTCAAAAGGGAGAGGATTGATGAAAAGCTGATTGCGGCGAAGAAACAAGAGAAAGGTTTTTTTTTTCAGAGTTAGCTTAGATTTCCTTTCAAACTGCTTAAAACAAGGATTTCTTGATATGTTTCATTCGATTTATGTTCAAACTTTCATTTTTTCATAAAGTTTTCGTTGAAAAATCGTACTTTTATTTTGTCCATTTGTTTGTTAGGCTATATTTTTGATAGCAATCAAGATCATTTTTTTCGGTCGAATTGCCCGGCGATGGCGCAAAAGTTCGTCAGAAGGCGGCTTCAATCCGTGCCCTTTCGCGTTAAATTCCATTCACTTAGCCGTTCGACAAAACTTGTTCTCTGCTTTCGTTTTTGAGAAGGCCCAAGACCTTTATTCCAGAAAGCGATCCGCATCCAGATAAATTGCTCACTGGATGTCGGGCTGAGGCGTCTTAGGTCCAACGTAGGCGCGCCCCCAGCCAAGTTGCGTTTAACAGGGGTTTACTACGAGCCTATGCCAAAAAATTAAAGCGCCATATCCAAGAAAGGAAAATAAGGTTAATTGCAAAAGCGCAACTTACTAAATTCCTCAGAAATGGCATAGTAGCCATTTCGCTGTACTTCCTCAGAGGTCCAGTGAAAGCCTAAACTTCAATATATATGATAGGATTATATATTTAACTGAACTCTTCGTTTAGCAAGTACGAAACACGCCTATAGGCTAATCTCGAAATGATGGGGATTTTCTTCAACTAAGCAATCATTACAGACTTCGGGAGCTCGAATATATGGAACTATTGAATCAAAGTGAGCAAAATACAGGCAAAGTGCTAACTGTACATTATAGAAACCAGCACTCTTTTTGGCTTTTATAAAAATTTTCGAAAGTTGAGGAAATTCAGTGGCTTTGTCAGACTGTTCAATGAGCCACAGTGATGGCATCGCAACGACAGCATGAACTAAAACCTTTCAGAAGTTTTTTGGTTAGTGTTCTATGAGTTTTGGTGAAAGATCAGAATAATGGGCAAAACTTTCGGTACGACCCAATATATTCAGGGTATATTGATCATGATCCTCTGTTATTAAGAATAATCGTTTGAGGTTCAGGGTATATTGATCATGATCCTCTGTTATTGAGAATAATCGTTTGAGGTAGAGATGAGATAGTATCACGGTGGTCACGTTTATGATGTTAAGTGTAGAATCCGCATTAGTAGATAGTGCGATAAGCGAATGTTGAAAGATATGATCGCTCATAAAGGCCGTTGCTTGCGGTAACGTAAACTCTCAGTTGCACCTCAGTTTGAAAATCGCAACATTGTTCCCAACAAAGCCAATGCTCCAAAAAAACCGTCTGTACAGGGTGTCCCAAAAAATGTGTCTACTGTTTGATTGTACATAACTCTCTAACGACGTGTTTCGAGAAGTTTTAGGCACCATTTTGTAGAGCATGGTTAAACTTAGATCTACTGTATGGAGGGAATCATCTACACCTAACAAAATTTTTTTAAAAAATTCAAAAAATCGTGTACTAGAGTTTTTGCGCATGCTGACTCCAACTAACAACTTTTTACTAGTTGTTCAGCTTTTCTGACGGTGTAATTACATCTCTGACAAATGCCGGGAATTGAGTTATTACGATTTAACGGGGATAACTGGAAAAGAAGCATCATAGTAAAATGGAATTCAATTTCGAAATCAGCGGCTCTCATTACTGCAGTATAAGAGACTTGTTTGATTTTGTTCCAAAGCCGAATATAGCCTCCTATGGTCTAAAATCCTTGTCGAAGTTCGTACCGTAATCTTACAGTAAAGAGCGATAAATGATTTGCTCCATACTGTAGATTTAAGTTTACCTCGCTCTACAAAATCGTACCTAACGCTTCTTGACACACTTCATTACAAGAAAGTTATTTGCAACCAAACAATAGGTACATTTTTGGGACACCCTGCATAATGGGTCATGTTCCGCGCTATTGTGCCCTGTATTACAGGAATAAACATAAAATAATAATACTCCTAAAATTCATCAATAGAGGGCATTTCTACCTGAGGCAAGGGTATGATTACAAACTCTATCGAACCTCTTCACCAATGATATGATTTTATACCTAAACAAGCTTAATCTCTTCCTATTCTCAAAAAAAAACTGATCGGGGCTAGATTTGAGCTAACTTAATAGGTGTTGCTCTATTTTCTTTACTGGTGTGTTCTGAGTACATTCGCTGATTGTTATAGATGTGGCGCAATTGTATGTATCAAATAAATGAATAAATAAGAACAAAAGTGAAAAATATTACCAAAAGCAAGCTTATATGACAAACTAGCTGGCTTTCACGGTCCAGCCAGGGTCATCGCTCAGGAGGATAGCCAAAAACCACACTTTTCCTTTTCTCCTTCCTGTCTTTTTTGGTTCAGCCATCTCCGCTCCTTTTCTACAGTCTCAATGCCGCATTGAAGCTTCTTCCCCTCACTCTCCTGCATGAGATTACCCTAGGAGGTTTGATTGGAGTAACAAAATCTTCCACACTCCAAATAAAAATGAGATTTTCTGCATTGTTCACACCAAAATGTGCAAGCGGTTTAAAAGCCGCTGATAAGAGTTAATCAATGCAAGGTGCCAAAAATCAACAAATCGATAGAAGGATTCCGCGAATCGTTTCAAAAGGTAGCTTAAAACCATCTACCAGGTTTCAGCTCAATTAGTTTACAGCAAAGGAGTCTATAAAAAAACATTCGGTCAAGACTTGCACAAACTTTGAGTTTCATATATGTATAGGATTTATCGTGGTTTGTAGGAAGAATTTTAACCATACAAGCCATCATACTATGCGATTCGCGCTTTAAAGCTAATGTTTCAAAGTGAGAAAATTGCCCTACCATTAGCGTTTCAAATTCTATCACCCAAACCAGGAAGATGTTATTTTGACTGACTCAATTGTTGACATCTGATGTGTGCTGCGCTAAAAATGACTCTGTATTTGCTGTTTTCTGTCCCGACTGTCTTCGCTATGAAGTTTTCGGACAGCAAAACATCGCAAAACCTTTACGTTCTCATGTGATAGGTTTCGTTTTTTAAAACGCAATCATGTTCGTTTTGCGATAGAAATGGTGAGTTTCGGGAAATAGTCCAGTTTTACCAGTTTTTTCTCTTGAATATCGCTTACTGTCATTTTTCTTGTATACATTTTCGTGGCCTGTATGGAGATTTGACTTTTGGGAAAATGGTGTGTGTCACAAGCAATGCATATTGTCGAAGCGTATTCTGTCCCTTTAGCTTTGCTATTGCAGGTTTTTCTGTACATTTACTTTTTTATCGAAAGATTTCAAAAGCAAAGAGCATGAAACCGATTTAGAATTATAAATACAGTCCAAAAATGGAGCAAGAATGCGACTCATTGCTGTAGCGAAAGAATCACCAGTAATGTTGCTCTCACAGCATAGAACAATCGTTTTAGAAATTCTCTATTCATAAAGGAAAGTGCAGCCCCGTTTGCTCATGAATTCTTCGTCATTCTTTTGTCTGTATGAGATCAAGACCAAGTTTTTCGTAGGGACAGACCATTCATCATACAACAAATTGACTAAATTCTAGAGACATATTTCTGCATTTCTGCAGAAAACATTCAGAGTCTGAGCAAATTTGGAACAAGTGCTGTATGAATGTGATTCTTTTGCATTTTTTTGTAAATCATTTGACTTTTCAGAACCAGCTTTGCATTGGAACACTAAAAATGCCACTAAATTTGTTTTGGTAAGAATGCTCCAACACAGCTGATCTGCGAAACATTAGTCAGCGGGAATGTGTAGCAAAATCAAAGCAGGACCGTACTTTATCTTAAAGGCAGCAAAAATCCGGAAAAGAATAATTCGACTGTTTCTGTTTATCGTCTCTGCGCATGTCTCCGATAATTTTTGATCGCATCTTGTTATTATATACTGAAAAGTGCATGATTTTCTCCCTCTCAAAATTTTAACCAACCAATTTTTGCAAACTGGAGGAGTTTCGGAATTTTCAAAAGCTGTGGTGCAAGAGTAACGCTCTTCCAAAACAACTGTTTGCTACAATAACAAAAGATGCTGAGTTGTTAGTAATAAAAACTATCAAGAAAACTAACAAAGAAAACAGGAGTGGTGCTTTTTGTACGAGCTCTAAACTACCTGGTTTCGGAGTAAAAAATATTTTCTTGATGCAAAAATTCTTGCATCAAAAATGAAAGTTTTTGTTCAAAAATGCTCATACAAACGAATCAGTTTAGACAATACGATCTTTGTCATTTATATCAAAGGTGGTATTTTATAATACGTTTCAAAAATCAATTCAAAATCAAATCAATAAGTCAAATCGAAAAAAAACTAACTCGTTTTTGTAGATTCACCAATTTTTCTAGTCGTAAAAATAGTCATAGAACCAGGAACGAAAATAAATTCGGATTTCAGTAGACTTTTTTTGCGATTCAAGAGTCACTTTTTTGAGTTTTCCTCTTAATCAGCTTTTATAGGCCATACTAGCTGGCTTACCCGGCTCCGCCGTATGTTCCGAATAGAAAATTCCATTTCTCAACCGATCCGGACCAAACTTGGCACACATACCCTTCGGGCCCCGGCGGGTGTCACAGTCCACTTTTCGTTATCGATCGATGTCGATTTTATCGATTTTTTGCAAAATTTGAGCTACGGGGCTGGGAGTTGGCACAGAGGGGTAATCGAGCATGCTGATCATCCCCGTGGGGGTGATCAGCATGCTCGATTACACCCCTCTGCCAACTCCCAGCCCCGTAGCTCAAACTTTGCAAAAAATCGATAAAATCTATAAAAGTAATGCACGATTTTGAAAACTAATATTGTATTCGGAATCCCCATGCTCGATTACCCCCCTGTGCCAACTCCTAGCCCCGTAGCTCAAATTTTGCAAAAAATCGATAAAATCGACATCGATCGATAACGAAAAGTGGACTGTGACACCTGCCGGGGCCCGAAGTGTATGTGTGCCAAGTTTGGTCCCAATCGGTTCAGAAATGGAATTTTCTATTCGGAACATACGGCGGAGCCGGGTAAGCCAGCTAGTATGTAATAAATCAAAAGAATTCTTTGCAAATGGAAAAGTAAGGGAATTTCAAAAAATTTGATGTAAGAAAGGTGCACCAGCCTAATACCGGTAGTGCAGCTTTCTTGGTGCTCCTCGTCGATAGTTCCAAAGTATCGAGAATGACCAGTTTTTCAATAGAGTGTGGAATTACTAAAGACAATGCCTTCCTTTCCTGCATATAAATTTTTTGTGGCATATTTCCCAAGGAGCACAATGCTTTCGTGCCTTGGGTGAACTCTGTGTGACCGTACCGGCAGCGATGCTGTTGATGGCATCACCGCAGCAGTGCGATGATTGTGAAAATAGTGAGCTTACGGACGAGACGCAGCGTGATCGTCACGGCCGAAGACCGTTCAGTGGTCTTTCGTCACCATCATCATCCGTTAAAATGTACAGGTTTATGCAGCCGCCACTGCTGTTGGCGCGGCGGCGATTGACGACGCCGCCGTCGACGCCGTCGTCGCTGCTCTTCTATCACTTTTTTTGAAGAATTCTATTGGAAAGGTGTAAATCTCCCCCCCCCCCCTCTTCTTAGAATGTCCTTGGACGGGTCGTCGCCCTTTGGGACAAAGAAGCGTCGCTGATTTGACGACGACGTTCCGAACCTGAAAGTGATCACACTCACACATTCTTGTCATAGCTCGTTCCACTGACCTTGAAACTTTCCCACTTTTCCTTTCGATAATTTTCTATTTCATTGAAAATTACCTTTGTTCGAACATCTCTATCTTCTATTCAACAAAGGACAATATCTTCAGAAAGACAGTGTAAACAAACACGGTTGTAAGAACTGTAGAACTAGGGTGTTTTTCCCCTTACCGCCTGCACTTGACCTTTCCTTCTTAACTCTGCTCACCGCCTTTTTGCTTTAATTTTCAAGCGATTACTCATTCTTTTGGGGAGATTATGCCCTTATACCCTTTGCGGTTCGGTATTTTCAAAGTGTCAATCAATTGTGTGAGACTAGACATTCGTAAACGGCCTCTCTTCTATCAAACTAGTTCCCCTATGCCTGTTAGCTCCGATCTATCACATTCTATTCAAGTACTTTTTGCCAAATTCTTCATCCGATGTACGTTATTCGGCCGCTGGACAACGGCTTTACGAATGAGCAGCCGGATAATTGAAGTATAATCGTTCTTTTCAGTAACATCATGGGGTCCCTCACCCGTTCCGAGGACATGCGCTTCTGCCAGCTGATTGTCGAAAAAGAAGCTGCATTCAATTGTGTTGCTGAGCTCGGCAAACATCCCTTCGTGCAGTTTAAGGACGTAAGAATTACAAAAAAGTCTTAGAAGAAGGTTTATTTGAAAATTTTGCACATCTTTTGCTAATTCAGAACTTTCCGAAAGTCCATTTTTTTAAACTAGTACTCAAAAAAAGATTTTCCACAATGAAATTTTCACCGCAATTTTGATCTAATTCTAATAATTCTTACTTATTTTTACTTTTTTACTTACTTCAATTCTTTTTATCGATCTTCATTCCCAAAAAATAGATTGTAAAGTGATTTTATGTAGCATTTAGTATGTGAGATTCATCTTTTTGCAATTCACAATTCTCACGGTTTATTGGTCTTCATAGAAACGCAAATGAAGTCATAAATACAAAAACCTTTCTCTAATCGATTATTCTGGTCCGGTTATGTGGTTTTCAGTTGAGTCAATGAATATCTTTTGACAAGTATAATATATTAGAATATCATTTGCGCAAGGGAATTATAATAGAAATGCAAAATAATTTTGTTTCTTATACTGGTGAGGCTTTCTCAGAAGTCAATTCTCCATGCTTTTGAGCAAAAACCAATCCAATCGTTTCTTGAGTGCTTTCACTTTTTCCTTATTCTCTTTTTGTTCTTGGCAATTGCTCCGCTACTTCAAGAGCTTTTACTCTGATTCTTAGAAGAGTTATTACCATGACATCCACTTAGTAAAAGCACTCCTTGACTTTTTGCTGCCTGTAAAAAATCGAGATTTTCGCAATTCTTCTCAAATTTTCGCAATTTTCAGCTCACCACACATCAAAATTAGAAGATTTGATGCAGTGTCCTTTTTGAAAGAAAAACTTCTGTGATATTTTGTACTTGAGGATCTACGCTCCATCAAGTAATACCCCACTTATTCACTAGTAGAAAGAAAATAACCTAACTCACTACTGTAGGCATAAAAACTGAAGGGTCTGAAAAATAAAGTTGCACTGAAAATTTTCTCTAGTTTCAAATAGTTGCTCATAAAATCTGTTTCAGAGAGAAAGATTTTTGGAGATTAAATGCTAGAGGGCCCAATTAAACCATATTTTCGATTATGGTTTTTACGAGCAACTCTTCCCAACTGTGCGCTCATTGGATATTTCTATAGCCATAATTTTTGCCCCTTTTTAACCCGACATCTCCGTTCTGTTTCGTATAATCTCTAATATGTTTAGTAAGTAGAAGTATGTTAAATATAATTGGGACAAAAATCGTTTCAAACATTAACCAGGCAAATTTTTAGCGTTTTTGGTGCAAGACTTATGAACCAGACCAACAATGAAAACGTAACTCAATTTTCCCATTCTGCTCTAGAAACAGTCTCTATTCTAATTGTAAAGATTTTTTCCTCGTCTGGGTCTAGTAACCAGAGCTGTTGGCGATCGCAGATTACTACTCGCTAAATCGAAATTTCATTCACATTCGTCGTTGCGCTTAGCGCAAATAAACCTTGCCTGCTAATCTGGAGTCGAAATGCAAACACCCACGGTCAAAACAGTATTCACCCGAGTGAAACTTGTTTTCCCCTTCCCTTTCTTTCCCTGTTTGAAATTCATAAGATGCGACAAGTATGATGCCCTGTAATGAATTTGACAAACGAAGAGACAATAGTTCCTGGTTAGAAATTTCAGCGCATGGAGGGCAAGAGGGTACAGTCTGGTGTCAAAAGGGCCCGAAAAAAACTTTTCCTTATCTATACAGACTTGAAGGAAAAAATATGTAAAAAAAGTAGAAACTATGATTGTGATTGCTCTTCTTGAGGCGTGCGTTCGTTTTTCCCTAGTTATTATAAATAGGTTTTTTTCACGCATTTTTTTGAACTCCGCTACCTTAGATCCTATCTATTCCAGCTCTGTGACCATTTTTACACAAAATGTTCAAAGAACTTTACCCACACTTGCCTTTAATGGTTGTACTTTGTTAGATCTGCTGCAGATAATGTTTGAACAACAAAAAAAAACTAGTGCGATAGAAGTTTGAGAGAAACCACAACAAGGACACTGAAATTTTGATAAAGCAATTTTTGTTGAAATCCTTGTAATTCTTGTATATTTCTGAAAATAAATGCAAAAATCAGCCTGGGAAGGAAAGCATAAATATTTTTTAATTTTTAGTTTTTCATTCAAAGCATTCGCATTCGTGCCAAATCTAAAACAATAAATGAAATTACCTGGGACATAATCAGCAACAGAAGCTAAAAAAAACATTTATTAAGTTAACTCAAGTCTAGCTCCGATTATTTTTCTCTAAAGAGTAAGGGATTGTGTTGTATAGACGGACCATTCATGAAATCTTATATATAAAGCTAAATGTCTGTATGTATGTATGTATGTATGTCTGTATGTCTGTGTGTACGTATGTTCCGAATAGAAAATTCCATTTCTGAACCGATCCGGACCAAACTTGGCACACATACACTTCGGGCCCCGGCGCGTGTCATAGGCTACTTTTCGTCAGCGATCGATATCGATTTTATCGATTTTTATTGATTTTTTTTGCTGAGTTCACCTACGGGGCTGGGAGTTGGCACAGGGGGGTAATCGAGCATGGGGATTCCGAATACAATATTGGTTTTCAGGATTATCGATTACTTTTATCGATTTTATCGATTTTTTTGCAAAGTTTGAGCTACGGGGCTGGGAGTTCGCACAGGGGGGTAATCGAGCATGCTGATCATCCCCAAGGGGGGTGATCAGCATGCTCGATTACACCCCTGTGCCAAATTCCAGCCCCCTAGCTCAAATTTTCAAAAAATCGATAAAATCGATAAAAGTAATGGACGATCTTGAAAACTAATATTGTATTCGTAATCGCATGGCTCGATTACCCCCTGTGCAAAATCCCAGCCTCGCATGTCAAAATTTACAAAAAATCGATAAAATCAATAAAAGTAATCGATAATTCTGAAAACTAATATTGTATTCGGAATCCCCATGCTCACTTCCCCCCCTGTGCCAACTCCTAGCCCTGTAGGTGAACTCTGCAAAAAAATCGATAAAAATCGGTAAAATCGATATCGATCGATGACGAAAAGTAGCCTATGACACGCGCCGGGGCCCGAAGTGAATGTGTGCCAAGTTTGGTCCGGATACGGCGGAGCCGGGTAAGCCAGCTAGTTATGTATAATTTAGAGGTTGTAAAAATTACTGATATGAATTTAGCTCAATCCTGATGTCAATCCTTTCCAAAGAACGTTTGTTCGTGATATTCGCCGATATGAGGAAATGGAGAGGAAGCTTAGTGAGTAATCTAACTCATTTCCCTAGCAATATTGGCCAAAAATGATTTTTTAGGATTCCTCGAAACCCAGATCAACAAAGACAATATCAATATCCCGGGAAAGCTTGACAATGGCGATTACACCGTTATGCCTACAGCCGAGTTGAATCAGTTGGAGGTCAGAACTTGCAAAAATTCAGCTCAGCCATAGATTTCGGAAAAAGCGTTTTAGTCCACGCTCAATGATCTGGAGCGTGATGTGAAAAACATGAATGACTCCGATGCCCAGCTCAAGAAGAACTATATGGAGTTGAAAGAATGGGATGCAGTCTTAGACAAGACCGACGAGTTCTTCCAAGGAGTGAGTAGTGAGAATTTTCGGTCACCTTTTGGGTTACCGATGAAATTTTCAGGGCATGGATGATCAGGCAGCTGAAGAGCTGGAGCAGCAGGAAGAGGAATACGGGGGAAAAGGAGAAAAAGCTCCCATAAGGTAAAGCGTTTCAACCAATTTTTTTGGCACCTCCAAAACAGAGCGGCACGTCCGATTCGATTTCATCAAATTATAAATTACTGTATTACTGTAAGGTTACTGTAGCTCACTGTTGCAATTCGACATATCTACAACATCTGACAAACAGATAAGTATTAGCCAATTTACAAAGTTATATTTTTTACGATTAATTTTATTTCCTTCTTGATTTTTGTCTAATACACCAAGAAAATCATACAAAGTTTTAGTTGCTCTTTTATAAGTGAATTTCTTGACAATTCCACTAAAAACTGCTACAAAAATTTACGTAGTAATTTTGGCCCATGATTTCAAGCCTATTGAATCAAAAAATAAAATGACCTTCGAGAAGTGATATTTTCGTAATTTTGTAGCGGCGATAATATTTTGACAGTCAAGTGCAATTTTACAGAAATGCTAGAGGAAAACCTTTAGAAAAAATCTGATTCAAAAATTTTGACGGAAACATGACTGAAAAAAGAATGAATATAGAAATTTGGTAATTTTTGTTCTTGCGAAAATGCCATGTTCAGCTACGCTGTGGGAGTGATCAGAAGAGAACGACTGAGTGCTTTTGAGAGAGTGTTGTGGCGAGCATGCCATCACACTGCTTATCTTAGAAGCTCAGATATCGAAGAGGAGGAAGACGAGTATGTGAGTGTGCATTTGCAGACATTGTGCGCTTAACCTTAAGCTGAATTATGATTTTACAGTATGAAACCGAGAAAAGCTCGGTTTTTATCGTCTTTTACAAAGGAGATCGCATGCGTAGTATTGTCGAAAAAGTTTGCGATGGATTCAAGGCGAAGCTTATGAAGAATTGTCCGAAAACATTCAAGGTTTGTAATACAAGACTACGGTAGGAATACGGCAGTAGCTTTTACAAGAGGAAGTGTTTTAGGAACGTCAGAGTGCTCGTGCCGATGTGCGAGCTCGTCTTGCTGACCTCAGAACCGTTCTTGGACAAACTAAGGAGCACCGCTACCGTGTCCTACAGGCAGCTGCTAATAATCATAACAACTGGATGAGACAGGTACAGTATTCTTCACATTTCCAGGACCTACATAGGCGTGAATTTGCCTTAGGTTCGCATGCAAAAAGCCGTCTATCATCATCTGAATCTTTTTACCTTCGACGGTATTGGACGATTCTTCGTCGCTGAATGTTGGGTACCTACTATTCATATTGATGATGTAAAAGCTGCACTCGAGAAAGGAGCGGTCGGTTAAGAGCATTCGCAGTTACAGTCACCTTGACGAGGTTTTTTTGCAGGAGGCTTCTGGATCTACCGTACGTCCTGTTTTGAATGTTCTGGAGACTTCGGAAATACCTCCAACATACAACAGAACTAATAAGTTTACGGAAGTTTTCCAAGGAATCGTCGATTCGTACGGAATTGCAAACTATCGCGAGTTGAACCCTGGTATGTGGGTATTAAGATTCCAGAAATCAGAGCGAATATCGTATAGACTATCTAGTGCTCCGGTATTCAGAAAGTATTCCGAAGCATAAGAAAATTATGCATTACATTAACAGTGATGTAGAGACATATTGATTTTCAGCTCTAAAAATGTTTAGCTGATTCTTGACATCACAAAAATTCAATAAAAATAACATGAGAGGTCACCCACCACCTGAATATCTCTAGAACATCAACATGATCAGGCTTTCACACCTTCGGACCCTCTTCACCGTTTGCGGCGCTACTCGCATCGCCACACGCGGCGCCGCATAGACGAAATACATGTACAACGGAGAAACGACAAAAGGCAGCGTCCCGGCAAAAAGATGGGTGCCGGGTTTTTGTGGCGATGTTAAAGTAGACCCCCTACCTGAGTGATGACTGAAGTTTGGAGCGAAAAAGGGAGTCTACCGAGCCTGAAATTTACTCCGAAAGTGGCCCGAATCTTACGGTAGGCCCGAGTGCCCACGCACAGCGATTTCGAACTGCAAGGCCAGAGCACGCATAGCGCACACAGTCATGAGCGCAGGGTCCCGCAACGATTCCGCGTCTCTACCTTGCGTGCATCTCGTACTCGCCAAGCCTACCGTAAGATTCGGGCCACTTAGGAGGCGATTTGTAGACTTCGTAGATCCCCTTTCGCGCTGCAAACTTCTGTCGTCGCTTAGTTAGGGGGTCTGCTATTACATTACTACCAGACCCCCCCCCCCCAGTCAGGTACCCCTCCCCCTCCCAGTCTGGTGGGACGTTGCCTTTTAGTGTGATACATGTTTGCCATATCTAAGCGTGTTAGGCATAGATGTACAAAAGTGAACAAGCATGCTTGCGCGCGTAACTCGTCCGCTTCTCTACGCTTGCCCGCCTTGTTCAAAGTCTAGCCAATCACAGCGACGCTGACCAATCAAAGGTGCGTTCGCTGTGACGGACGGTGCAAAAAGGCCAAGGCACTGAAAGCAATCCATGATCTATGACTAAGGAACAGTCTCTAGTTTTTTTTTGTCTGAACCTTTTATGTATTTATACAGATGAACAATTTTTGAGAAAAAGTCACGTTCTTTTGCTACTTGGTGAATAAGGTGAATTACCTAATATTGATGAAAGAAATAAGGTCATTCTGTTTAAACCTAAAAATCAATAAAATCCATAGAAGTCACTGCCATTACCTCCTTCAGCACCGTACACGATCATCTCCTTCCCGTACATCTTTGCTTGTATGTTCGGTGACATGGGACACGGATTGCTGATGTTCCTGGCTGGTCTTTGGTTTGTTCTTCGTGAGAAGAATCTAATTGAACGCAATATCAAGGATGAGGTCTGTTCACATTTTCTATTTGGTCATAAGCTAATCACCACGACTTCTTTTCAGATTTTCAGTATGTTCTTCGGTGGCCGCTACATCATTCTTCTTATGGGGATATTCTCCATGCATGCCGGGTTCATGTATAACGACTTATTTGCTAAGTCATTTAACATATTCGGTTCGAAATGGCTGAATCCGTACAGGTACATATCGGAGAATGAAAAAAGAAATCGATAACCAAAAATTGAAAACTTTCCAGCCATGACCAACTTGACTCATGGATTAACCAGAGCATGGTGAACAAAAAGGAAATGGGCCTAGAGGTTGTTATGCACGTAAAAACTTTCTATTCTACAAAAAGCAAGTTTAGATGGACCCAGGTTACGCCTTCCAGCATGACGATGGTCCATATCTCTTCGGTATGGATCCCATATGGAATCTGGGTGAAAACAAGCTGAATTTTACCAACTCGCTGAAAATGAAAATCTCTGTCATTGTCGGAATTGCTCAAATGACTTTCGGCGTAATTTTGAGTTTGTACAATTACAGGTTTGTACTTGAGGCAAAAATCAAAATAAAATAAAATTCCAAATTTTTCAGATTTTTCAAATCAAAAATCGAGATTTTCACTGTCTTCATTCCCCAGATGCTCTTCATGCTCTGCATCTTCGTCTACCTTTGCCTTGAGGTGAATATTATCATAAGATTCAACCTGATTGCTTTGAAAAGAAGTTATTTCAGATTGTGCTGAAATGGGTTTTCTTCTGGGTGAAACCGGATATCATATTTGGCCGAATCTATCCAGGATCGCATTGTGCTCCATCACTTTTGGTAAGCGCGGGTTTTTAAGCTGCTTGTATATAGGCAAAAATTGATAAATTCAAAATGTTATTTTAGATCGGACTTATCAGCATGTTCATGTTCAAAGATCGTGAACCAGGATTTGTACAACTCGATAAGGTAAAAAATTTATCAAAATACTATAGGAATAAAATAAATAAAAATTTTATCAAAATACTGAAATAGTAAATCATAAATATTTTCTAGCGACATCCCATTGTAATCATATCGGTCTGTATCTCAAAGAATAAGGAAAAAAATTGATTTTGTACTATAACATGTCTATGATTTTAGCAAGATTACAGCAACCCTGAATACTGCAGTATAAAAAACGCAAATCTGTCTATTAACGCAAATCTGTCTATTTAAATTTTTATCTCAAAAAATTAAAGGTTTGAAAAAACAAACGATGTATAAAAGTACCTTAAATCGTTTTAGCCAATCAACGGAGCAAACAATGAGTATATGGAAATAGACCAATGCCATCTCACACAGTGGTACCCCGGGCAGGTAAATAAGTACCCAAACAGCTCGTTGGTTAATATATCTTATGTTTAATTTAGTCGTTCATCGAAGGTCTTCTTGTGATAATCTCAGTTATTTGCATACCTATCATGTTGTTCGGAAAGCCAATCCATTTCCTGATGGAACAGAAGAAAAAGAAGAAGGCCATGGGCAGCAATATTGTAAGCACTTTTCCTATTGTAAACAAGGAAGAAAATTCATGAAAAAGTTTTAGTCTGTTCGCGCTAACGTTGTATCCGACGATTCTGAAATCATCATCAATGGAAGCAAAAAAGAGAAAAACGGGGGTGCCGAAATAGGTGATCAAGCACCCGCAGCTGTCGCGACATCTGGAGGAGCAGCACATGCTACCGCTGCTGCTGCTCATGAAGATGAGGTAACGAGCCAATCATGATGCTTCAGGTTACGGCAATCTTACGGTATTCACATGATTCTAGGCATTCGGCGACATTATGGTCCATCAAGCTATCCATACTATTGAATACGTTCTGGGTTGCGTCTCTCATACAGCTTCCTACCTCCGATTGTGGGCTTTGTCGCTTGCACATGCTCGTATGTTTATCTTCTTTAATTAGATTTATATAGGCTATTCATCGCACGCAGAGACAGGCGCCACTGCAGACAATGTCTGCGTCTCTCACGCCAAAATCACTTTTCCTTTAGCCGTCTGCGTCTCTACCTAGCACACACTATCTTGTCCAATCTCTGCGCACGATGAATCGCCCATACTTATATTGAATTGAAAATTCCTAAATCTGTAAAAATAAAAAATCTCATAACTCCTATTTTCCAAGAAAGCCCACCTTTGTATTTCAGAGCTGTCCGAAGTGCTTTGGGAAATGGTGCTACACAATTCGTTTGGACTAAGCGGAATATTTGGATACATCGCTCTATACGTCATCTTCTTTGTCTTTGGTGTCCTCACCTTCTCAATCCTTGTGCTGATGGAAGGCCTATCCGCATTTTTGCACGCTCTCCGTCTGCATTGGTAAGCGCTGTCTCATTTTTAGTGCGATAAATTCATCTCTAAATTTTCCACTTTCCAGGGTGGAGTTCCAATCCAAGTTTTACTTGGGTCTTGGCTACGGCTTTGAACCGTATTCATTCAAGAAGGCACTCATGGTGGAGTAATCAAGCTTCGTCGGTGTCTTCCCTCGCATCGAACTCGACATAATCTTACCATAATTATAGCCTCATGCTATAATGTACATTAGTTAATCCTTGTTGTTCCGGTACAGAAACTATCAAAGATCTTGCCCCCTCACATTCCAGTGCTTCTCATCTTCACTTAGATACCTTTATAACGATTCGATTCGATTATTACTGATAGTTCAGTTTGAAAACTGTAGCGTTGATCGGTTAGCTAAACGATGTGAGTCTAGAGAAGATTGTTAACATGAAATTGCGATAAATAAAGGATTTTTCACTGATGTTGAACAAAATGGACAGCATCATGCACAGGGCTTGGCACAGCTGGCATTTGGGTCAAGCTGGATGTCGTTTTTGGGGCAAAAAGCAAAGGGGATATCGTGTTTGTGAAAAGATTAAAAGTTGCGAAGTTTTTTTTGTCGACGTTTCGTTTTTTAAGGGGTTTTTCACGTTTAGAGTTTCATGACAAAGGGGACTTCGTGCGAAATTCTCAAGATTAAAGGGGACTTTGTTTTGAGATCTTCATGGTACCAACTTGCGCCGACTTGTGATCGTGCATCTAAAATTAGTTTTTCCTCAGAATAATAAGCGATGAAGCAGGGTGCGATCTACTGACACAATAATAGTCTTCAATGGAAAACAACAAAGACAAAGAAAGTGAATCTAAGAGACAGTCATCAGTCTTTTACAAAGTAAGCCGTGATACGAGTCGCTGCTTCAGCATGTCCAAATAGGCTCCATACTCAAAGCTCCATACGAATTTCAAGTTTTTGAACTGAAGCAAATAAGACTTGCAAAATTGCACGCGTATTAGTGTTGTCGCACTATGCTGAAACCGCTATTGGATTTGTCACTGTATCTCCTAAACGGATAGCGGCGATATATATTTTTTTCCACAAAAATCTACTTAGTGTCTTCCAAAATGTTGTAAATGTAAAGAATGTAGCAAACTGACTCCCATTTTCCAAAAGTGTTTCTTCTAGTTACTGGGCTGCTATCATCGCCGCAATCAGCTTCTGATGGGATCAACAAACGCTAGATGTCATGTCCCGTACCTGCATAATTAAAATCTGCAGATTTTGCTTGCATTCGGATAGGTCAGACATCGATACGAGGAATTAAGAATGAAGCAAGGAGCTTTTGCATCACGTCAACAATAAAAGGCACAAATTTACTCTATGTTTTGAAAAATTGTGTTCAAGCCAAACTGTGTTCCTCAGGCCAGGGTTCCGCTAAAATTTCCAGAGTATTATAACAGAATAAAATAAATTTCCCGTTTAACACATTGACGACCGCTCAATGACTACCACGTGGGACCGCTTGACACACATGGTGTACTCATTCCAGAAAGTTCTCTTTTGCTGTGAATCTAGAAATGACCTCTAACTTCTTTGTCAGCCTTCCACAGCTACTGTAAGTATACTGTAGATGGCAGTATCCGTGATTTTATCTAGAAAATGCTGATTGGCCTGAGAAAGGTCTTGGTCCCAAAAGGCAGACAATCAAAAATTTGCGTTGTCGTCAACGTGTTAAGGAAGTTTTGTGATCAAAAGATGGGCCGGAAGGACGGAGGCTAGAGCGCCTAAAACAGTGAACATCACGGTGGCAGCAAACGCTAACCGTTTATGCGGCACGCACAGTCTAGTCATTTCAAGCGATCACATATGTATTGCGAGCAAAGTCCATTTTTGGCGTTCCCACACTGGATTTGCAAGTGCAAAAACGCAAGAGACTGAATGATTGCTGCGGATTACAACACCTTGGGTTGTTTCAGACTGCCGTACTGATCGCAGCAGACTGCGCAGACCGCAACTGACTACAGCTAACCGCACTCGCACTGACCACGACGGCCACAGCGGCCAGGATGTTCACCTGGAAATAAAGAACGACCGCGATTAAGACTACACAACAACAATATATCTAAAAACAAGAGACAACACGAGCGAGAATATTACAAAACAGGTATATGCGATAATAGGAGGAATCAGAACAAATATGAACACACCAAAGAAAAACAATTGCCAAAATTTGTATGAGAAAAGTGCATTTGAAACTTATGATCATCCTAGGCGTAAATCACGGTGTTTTGACGTAATCGCGGTTTTTTTCTTTTACGAAAGAATGCACGACCGGTGCGGCCAATGCGGTCAGCTGCAGTGCTGCAGCCTGCTGCGGTCCCTGCGGCCTTATGAAACAACAACTTGTCATGATTGATACCTGAAAGGGAAAGGAAATATAGAGAAACCATGGAAACACCCATAGTTGACTGCACGAAATCGTTCGGGCTGAACGCCCGCGAGCGTGTCTCTTGCGAGCTAAGGGTTGGGCCAGACTGCACGGCGTACGCGGCGTACGCAGCGTCGCCGCGTACTCTCTTTTGATGAAATATACCGAGCGTACGCTGCGTACGTCACGTACGCCCGTACGCCGCGCACTCTGGCTCAACCCTAACATTGGTAATTGCGCGCATGAGTCATCATAGCGCCCGTTCTCAACAGCCGCATTGCAGGCACGCTCGCGTGGATTCAGCCTACAGCGACCCGGGCGATTTCGTGCAGTCGACTTTACCTGAATATACAGGGTGTCCCAAAAAAATGTGAACACTGTTTGATCGTTAATAACTCCGTTGCTTTCATGTCTTTCGCCGAGCTTGAGGCACCATTCTGTAGAGCGAGGTTTAACTTAGATTTGTGGTATAGAGCGATTCATCGATCGCTCTTCATTACTGTAGGATTACGGTATGAATTTCTGACATGTGGATCTATTGTGAAATATGCCATTTGAAAAAATTCTTTTCAAAAAATCTGAAAAATCGTGTACTAAGGTTTTCGCGCTCGCTGATTCCATAACACAACTTTTTACGTGTGTTTTTAGCTTTTTTGACGGTGTAATCGCATTTTTGACAAATGCTGGAAATTCGGTTATTAAGATTTGCCTGGGATAACTTTGGAAAGAAGCGTCACAGCAAGGTGGAAATTTCATATTCGAACTCAGCGGCTTCCATTTCCCATACATCAAAGTTTTTGGCTTGTTTGGTTTTGTTCCGAGGCGGAATATTGCTTTCAATGGCTTAAAATCCTTGTCAAAGTTCCTACCGTAATCCTACAGCAATGAAGAGAGATATACGACTTGCTCCATACCATAAATTTAAGCTAGACCTCGCTCTATAGAATGGTGCCTCAAGCTCGGCGAAAGACATAAAAGCAAGGGAGTTATTAACGATCAAACAGTGTTCACATTTTTTTGGGACACCCTGTATATCTACTCCTAATACACAGATTGGGGAGCCAAAGGTGTACAGTGTGTGACACTCATAATCACATGAAATGGCTGGACTGTATGCACGCCAAAGGTGTAGTGGACAGCAGGATGCCAATAGGCTTCACACGCGCGGACAGCTAACACGAGCTGTGATGGGGAGAAGTGCGCATTTATTGCGGATGTCCACTTACTGTCTTCTACCCATGCCAAAGTTTCCTTGCTTCACTTTTGGTACCGGTATAATCTCATCTTTTGCACGTTATAGGTGAGCGAGGCCAACGTCCCTCTTTCCTTCAAGCCGGAGCGTGGAAGAAAACTCATAACAATATAACATATATTCATGCTTGCGAGCTGCTCTATGCTTTCAAGTAGTCTCAAAAATGTATTTACCGTACAAAAACACTATAAAAGTCTTCATACCAAAAGTCAACGGAGTCGTCACCAATTCTTTACAAAAGAAGCGTTTTTAGTCGAAATAGCGAAAATAGTTGGATGTGGATCAGTAGGTTAGCTAATAAATGATATCAGTCGATTTTGCGGCTCCTGCAAATGCTGCATAGAATTTTTGTTTTGGTGCATACGGTGTGATCACCACAGTGGCAAGTAATGTTCAAATTTTACTCTATTAGAAAGGGGGCAAAAAAGTGAGAAACCCCAAATTTCTCATTGTGCAAATGTGAGAATTAGGTTTTTTCATCAAAGAATTTCAAAATGGCAGATGGTAAATCTTATTAATACTTGCTGCATAAAGAAAACTTCAGTGTATCGAAATACCATTACTCATCTCAACATCCATCATGGCACGAAGACGAAGCTTAAAAAGTCAAAGAACTGAGCTTTTGGATTTGGCCATATAGGGGGATAAGTGCCCTTTACCAATGGTAGAAAATTCTGAGCGGTTGTTATATGATAATCAAACTTTTGAACTAATTCCCTTCAAATCATTGATAAAAACAAGCCAGTTCTCATGGAAATTTGCATGAAAAAACAAGATTATTTCTTAGCCAACATAGTATTATAGAATGATAAACCTGAATGTGCTCATATACCCACAAAGAAGGAAGTGAAACAGAAGATATACAAGCGTTTGCGAGCACCTGTCAACTCCAACGTCGGTTACATTAGTCACTTCATTATGTCATTTTCAAGTAATTATACGTGATGAGACATTAGCTGAACCTACCTCTGGGTCAATAAGTACCAAAACGCGGATCTAGTGTTCAAGCTTAACAATGATAGTGCTTTGAAAATTTCAGCGCTGCAGCTTCCCTAGAACTAGACTTGCAGAAAATCCAGGAATTGCCAGTGTAAATTATCCTGGATTTCAAGATCGGGGAAGTTCAAAAAACTGTGGATAGTAAGCAGTTAACATAGTGGCACGCCTGCAAAGTTTGAGCCCTCTAGCTTCATTTTGAGCCAAGTTATAAGTTCCGAAGTTTTGTGCGATATATTGCGCGGTTACTACTCTTTTAGAGTTCGAGGAAATTGGTTATCTTGCAATAGACACAACCCTAGTTCATCAATAAGAAACAACTCTTGTTGGCGAAAGATTTCATTGTATATCAAAACTTTAGCAATTCACGGCTTATGGTGGTTGCATATAATGCCAAAATTCATTATCTTGACAAAAGATGCCATACTCACCTGCTTCAAAGGGTTAGCTTCCAATGGGATTTTGGTGCATTATTGAACATTCGAGAGCCTTGCAAATTGTTCTTCTTGATGAGGTAGGATAGGGTGGCAGGCTGCTTACAGGTAAATTATGCTGTACCGCATAATCTCTGCTGCCAGCTAAACGCCTCATGTGTTTGGTAAGTGATGTGTTAACATATTTATATCCAACACTGAGTGTATCCTTTGACAAGACTTCCTTTTCTGTGCCTGACAGCTCTCTTAAAGGCAGTGTCCAGGCAAATATGAGCATATGGGTTTTTTGCCTGAAAACTGTTGAGGAGGTTCTGACTAAGGCACTGCCCAAACTGCAGCGCATAATTCATTCACGGCTGAGAAATCCATCCTTAAACACTCCGCGGCTGCGCCGTGACCGTAACACTTACGATGGGTCTCAGCGCGAACGTAGTGTTAAAGTGAGCGAAGTCGTTTTTGCGTTACGGTCACGGCGCAGGCGCGGGGTTTTCGGGATGGATTTCTCAACCGTGAATGAACAATTTGCGCTGCGGCTTGGGCAGTGCCTTAGTTAGGACTCCCTCATCAATTTCCAGGCGAAAAAGCCATATGCCCAGATTTGCCTGGACACTGCCTTTAAGTATCACTTACGGTGCGTGCACAACTTACTTCGTTGTAATCTATATATGTAGAAGGTGTGGGCAAAACTACCTAGAACATTGGCTAAGATTGCGTTCAAAAGCCAATCACTGAATTCAAGTCAAAAACAATTCAAAGAAATCTATTATAAGACAGGTGTTATAGCGATCGAGTTCTCCAATTAGTGGCCATAGTCTCCTCACAACGAGCAGTCTATGAAGAATGATAGAATGCGATGAGTTAGACCCTCAACCAGTTGCGTATCATACTTATATGAAGTTCGTGTCTATTGCATCACTAACAAGGGAAGTTCACTTAATCGAAGTGGCGATTCGGAAGGAGATTTATACCAGTGGATAGAGCTTAAAAAGCTGCTCTCAGATATACCTTCTATATCTGCGATGCGTCGTTCTGAAAAAAGTTATGAGCTTTTCTAAAGCCAAATTTTCGTGCATTTTGAGTCGCAAAATCATGATAATCGTTATACAAAAGTGTGCAAGCTTAAGCAAACCACCCAATAAGCATTGTAGGTCTAATTCGAGTTCATCTTAATGCTATCGAATGTTTTTCACCATGTTGTTCATCCACAGGTCATCATTTCATTCCTAGATCACACTTCCATTATGTATACAAAAAAGCCCCATAACCTCCATCTAGAAAAACGCGTCCCGTAGTAAACTTTTTGGAAACTACCAATGGATAGAACGTAAAACGATGTTCTCAAACATATCTTCATTATCTGCGACGCGTTCTTCTAGATGGAGGTTATGGGCTTTTTTGTATATATAATGGAAGTGCGATCTAAGAAGCAAATGACGGCCTGTGAATAAACAACATGGTCGAAAAACACTCGAAAACGTTCGGATAAACTTGAATTAGACCTACAATGCTTCCTAGGTGGTTTGCTTGAGCTTGCACACTTTCGTGTAGCGATTATCATGATTTTGCGACTCAAAATGCGCGAAAATTTGGCTCCAGAAAAGCTCATAACTTTTTCAGAACAACGCATCGCGGATATAGAAGGTATATCTGTGATCAGCTTTTTAAATTCTATCCACTGGTATAGATCTCCTTCCGAATCGCCACTTCGACTAAGTGAACTTCCCTTGTAAGCTTCAATGCCTATGCTATATTCTGTATCATAAAATCTGCAACGGCAATGGCTTCATACAAATGGTTTCTGCTGACTTATCAGCTAGCTTCCTTTGCATCTGACTTCGCATTTACAACTCTATTACTACCTGTCATCTTCTTTCCCATTATTATGGGCTACAGTGATTCCTACATCACGAGGTGGATATCGCTTTCCACGATAACCGCTATACGCATAATGGCATGCTGCCTCATACTTCTACTTGCCAACATTTTGAATCTATTCATATACCGATGCTACATGTTGATTCCTCAAAATCATGTTCTGAAAGTGTGTTTGCGAGGTGATTTGTTCATAAAGATATGTTTCATTCTAAGAAAAGGGTTGCTCCTCCTATTACTAGAAATGACTGTCCTTTTTTGTTAGTTGAGTTGGTTGTTATAGTGTGGACCCCGGCCAGCTTCCCATAGGTACCAACGCGACGCGCACGCAGCGCACGCCTCTGCTGTCCGGCGAGCTTTCTTGGGGTCTAAATGATTGTTTTTTGTTTCCTCTCTTGTTTATCGTTGTTTTCCATAAAACCTCTACTTCAGGTATTGCCGATCAAGACAATGGACCTTGACTTCAACGTTAGAAGAAAGCGTTGTTCGTTCTTACGTTTTTTCTTCGCTAAAAGTTGGTGTTTTCGATTAATCTCGAGAGGTTCTTTCGTTCAAATCTCTTCCACAAAAAAAACGAATATCTATGGTCGATTTTGATTTGTGCTTCTATCGTCTCTGCCTTAGAGAGATTCCCGCTGTCTTTCGATCTTCGTTTAATCAAATGCGCTTGTGTTTGAGTAAGAATGTATGGGTTTTTCTATGCTCATCATATTGATATGTTGCAAAGGTTACTTTCTTGTTCATAGTAAGCTAACTCCAATTGCTCCTGCATGTAGAAGTTCTAAACAGTCATCGAGGCTCGCACAAAGAAAACGTGAGAACGAACGACGCTATCTTCTAACTTTGAAGTTAGGGTCCATTGTCTCGATCGACCATACCTGGAATAGAGAAATTATGGAGAAACAACGATAAACAAGAGAGAAAACAAAAAACAATCATTGAGACCCCTAAAAGAAAGCTCGTCGAAGGCAGCAGAGGCGTGCGCTGCGCGCGCGTCGCGTTGGTACCTATGGGAAGCTGGCCGGGGTCCACACTATAATTGAGTTGTTTCGAGGATGATTCCATGGATATATGCTGCTATGCTCTTTATTTGTTGCATTTCTATTTGTTTCATAGCATTGACAGACTTTGTACCCGATCAAGTGCAAGCAAGAAAGTGCATTTTGGAGGTGGTTCTTGCAAACTTCAAAAGAACTTGCAATGGATGTGTCAACCAATTCGCTTGACTTGTTGTAGGAGTATTCTTGTGCGAAAACAGTGATATATGAGCCTCGGATCACGATTCGCACTTGGAAACATGCTCGGCATCTCCTTCTAGTCGCACTTTTTTTGAACACATTTGGGGTGTTTGTTATTATCTGCACATTATTGTTATCATTTCACTTCCTCAGTAAGACAGGCCATCTTTCTCACAAAAACACGTTCCATGCAAAGACGATATCTGATTTCACTTTGCATACAGGCAAATTTCGAAACTTGGGTTGGGACTACAAATGTTTTTGCGCACAGATTTCAATTCCAATGGCCACAATGGTTACCCCGAACTGTGGATTTGTGACGATATGGTTGGCGATGTCATATCCGATTAACCAAGGTGTGAAAGTTATGCAGTGATTTCGTGATTCCATCGTACGAAAACATAGAAAGTTTATTGGAGAAGGATTCGCATATGTGCTACATGTGAATGATTGAATTTGGAAACAATGAATTTAAGCTGATTTCTTTTTAGGTACTGGAAATCTGTGTCTCGGTTTCGCAACACTTTCTCAGACATTCGCGGTTGACAACCGCCGGTGAAAGGGAGTTCGACTCATTGAAAACATGCGGTACACATCCGTTTGTTTCGGGACAATCCGGCTATTGGTTCGGGACAAGACTGCCGGAGAAACGCCGGTCGAACAGGTTTCACCTGCGTTTCGTTCGGGATTTGCCTGCAGCACATGTTCGGGTCGAATGCAGGTGAAACGCCGGTGAAATGCAGGAGTCCCGAACCGACCATGGGGCATGGAATTAGCCGTAGAGCGCACTTGATATTGTTCAAATTTCCGGTATACACTGTATACTATGTAAATAACAAAGACTGAATCGACAGAGATTTATTCATCAACACAACGACAAAACCATAACAAATGATAAGAAAACTCGTAACAACAAAATCGCAGCAGCAAAATTATATATTCCTGAGCAAAAAGAGAAAAATCTAGTGTCAAGAACAGAATCGCAACAAGAAAATCATACATAACATATGTGAGCAAAAACACAAAAAAGGAACCAATCTTCCTCAGGCGACTCCCGGACTTCCGTTTTCTCGATCGTTGTCCCTTCTTGCGTCGTTATTACTCTTTTTTTCTGAAATTGAAAAAGAACGAATGACATTACAGCTGTGAATAGAGAAACTTACCTTGGGCGACATGAGCGTCAGGCGTGCTGTATCGAATTCATATTGACGAATGTCGGCTCTGAAAACAAACGCGGACGTTAGCACCCTCCACAGGAATTTTTTACACCCACCCGGGCGAGACCAGAGTAAGATAAAGCATGAAATACTTACAATGCTCTGCAGAGGGCTTCGCGTGCATGCTCCAGTCTGTTCGCGCTTCGGATAGCGCATCGAACCTTTTTCTTCTTTGAGACTCCGTCTCGCCCAAATCAGCCCAGTACCTGAAACGGCAATAGATATCTTCTGTCATTTACGTTGTGAAAACTATCTTCCGTGAATTCTTGCGCAATCTGCAAATCTGATGAGGAAGACCGACTCTAATATAATTTAGAATGCAGCATTAGGCTAACCAAAAAGAAAAACAACCAGCAAAACCTAGTAAGTCCAAGAACAGGAGGAAATTTGTAAGCCTACAAAAATCTAGCAAAACTAAAAATCAAAAAAATGTACCACTATGACCCATACAAACTATTTACATGGTCGGCATTATGGTTGAACTTTATGTATCGTTCCATTCTAATAACCACTTTTTAAATACAAACCCGTAATCTACGCTGTGCTAAAACATCACTCATTTATGCATTGACTTGCGCAAACATGACAAGATTTGGTACAAAAACTCTGTTTACATTGAGCAAGTCCTTTACAATTGATGAACTGAGTCAAACTGACCAAACTTCATTCTCCTTTAGTTCGTGGATTATAGGAAGCTGAGCCTCGTCATCTTTCGGCTTGTTCTCTCCACCAACTATCTTCCGTCGCTGAAAATTGCATATAATCGCAGGCGCACGACTAAGGTAGGTGCCAGAGTAAGCGAATATTTTTTCAGCTTCGTTCAGCTGCAAAAGGCGCATAGAATTAACGTTGATTCTGCGCGGGACCTGCAGCTGAATCAGGCCTTGGCAGCAGTAGAGATTATGCAGCAGACATCGCGCCTTCTGCAGCTAAACGAAGCTCAACAAAATATTCGCTTACTCTGGCACCTACCTAATACGCATATACGCGTGGATGGGGGGGGGACTCTTATCGGCCATTCATAACACGCAAAGACTGGGCGCCGTTGCGTCCGACCAATATAGCACGTGCGAAGGAGAGGCAGAAGATTGTAAGAGAAGCGAAAGAGGCTCGATCATAGAGACGCCGATATGTCCGCAGTCTTTGCGCGCAATAAATCGCCTATACCTGCTAGTAAAGTTTATTAAATCGCTTTCAAATTCCTTTTGAAACTAATGAACATGTTCGTAGAACTTCGCTTCATCTTGAAATGAATTGAGAGAGCAGGCGTTTGGTTTTGCTTTTCGACTTACTTCAATGCCATCGAGCCGCACTTTTTCGAGAGCGCAAACGTGCTTTTCAACAGTAAGCGGAAAAGCTCCAATGTAATCTGGGACGCCCGAGTCTCCACCGTTCTTGAGAAGATCGGCAAGATTACGTTTATCGCCCTTCATTTTATTATCTGGACAATTGTGCAACTACCTTCAGCAAGCAGCAGAACGAGAGTGATGAAATGTGAATACATTCGGAGAAACGGACAATTTTACGGAAAATTGTCACAAAATGTACGGGCGGCAAAGCCATTGCGAAATAAAAGGTTATTCTAAAGGTTTATGATGGCTGTGCACTTCACATGAATGAGCTATGATAAATAATATGCGAGAAAAAGTATGCATATATGAACTATATAATAGTTACGGTGAGTGAACTGTGCTTTCAAATAAACGAACATCTCTCTTTTGAAAAGAAAAAGAGGATAATCAAACCAAATAGAGTGAAAAATGGTTCAAACTTTTAGTAACTCACTAAAAAGGAGAGCACCTACTCGAAGCAGCCCACCTCTGCAGATAGTATTTCATGCCCACACTTGAAGATGATGAGAGGTAGAACCGGAGAGAAACAGCAATAACAAGAACCAAAAAAGTAAGACCTGGATGATGATCTGCAATGCATGAGCCGGCTATCCTCACTGCATGCAGGAATGAAAATGAGTTTGATCGCGAATGATGGCGTCCCTCCGATACCTTTCGGCACTTGTCAAGCACGTCCGGTTCAACCCGAACGAGTCAAAAGGCCGATCGATTGTATTGATACGCGTCGGAACAATCCCGACGCAATTGCCGGTGAAGTCGGGACAACGGCAGGACACAACTTTGTCCCGAAACAAACCGAAAGTGGGCGGATCTCCGGCGGTCGTCAACCGCAAATGTCTGAGTTATTGTCTCATAGCTCCTCTTTCTCTTCTCAGACAATCACAGGCTCTCAGCCGGCAGCCACAAAGCCACCGCGAAAACCCACCAAAAGCGCTGTGGCTTTATCGCGGCCACTTTCGCTTCCCGCTGAAGCCCTCATAGCAGTCCGCCCGCTGCCAGTTTTAGCCTCCCGCTCAGTGCCATATTTGTAGCCCGCTCGCTTCTACAGTTCTCAGCGGGAAGCGGCAGCTCAGACAATTGCTGGGGGCAGGCGGGCACCGGAGAAATAGATTGCTGATTTCTCGCACGCCGCTCGCGGATTTTTCGGAAAGCAATTAGGACTTTTCGGAAGACCGCTTGCTGAGCCAGCGGATTTTTGAGAGACCGCTTGTTGAATTTTTTTTCGCTCTTATCTTTTGCAGATAAATTGCTGAATCTCTGAAGAATCGAGAACTCAGCAAGCGGTCTTCCGAAAAGTCCTGATTGCTTTCCAAAAAATCCGCGAGCGGGGTGCGAGAGATCAGCAATCTATTTTTCCGGTGCCCGCTTGCCCCCGGCCATTGTCTGAGAGTGAGGCGATAGCACGGAGCTTTTGGTGGGTTTTCGCGGTGGCTTTGTGGCTGCCGGCTGGAAATCTTGTCTGTGTAGCTTCTTGTTATGCTTGGACTACAACGCTGTAACTTCAATTAATTCATTATAACGATGACAAGTAACAATGAAGAACATAACCATCTGGAGATATGACCACATGGAGAAATAAATATGGAATGAATGAAAGAGATGCTATGGCATCATACGCACCGTTACAGTCCAGATCAAATTAAATCATCACCAGATTTTCATCTGATGATGATTTGACTTGATCTGAAGTGTATCGGTGCATATGATGCCATAGCATATTATATATCAGATCAATTCAATCAAACTTCAGATCACTTCAGATTGAGGCAGATTGAGCAGGCGGAAGGCAGATATTACGCGTAGAGAGCATCAGCTGTGTTAAAATTGTAAAGGCATATAATATGGAATGAGATAGAATGAGATGAGATAGACAATTACAAGTATTGTTATGCAATGAGATAGACGTGTACCGGCAAAGTTCAGATCAGTTATGAGAATATGAATCAGAGAGATATCGTAAGATTATAATCATCCATAGATTCTATTATCAAGCATGACTTGATTACAGTTTCCTTGGCTTCAAGCTGTGCACGTATTGTTGCGACATTGTCAGTCACATACTAATAATAAAGCGTTGACGAGAGTTTCAACCAAGAGTCAAATTTCTTTCTGGGAGGGGAAACCTAACCAAAAACTACCGAATTAGACTTATCAAAATGACTTAGAACGCGATTTTCTCCAATTGCCGTAATGTTTCTCATAATAAACATATGAATTCCTATTTTGGTCGTGATTGGTTCATTATGATTACTGAGCTTTAAGTTCGAGTACTTTTTGAAATCTCAGTCACAGCGTAAGCAATGCGAATCACTTGAATTCCCTGCTTGTCGAGATACAAACTCAGTAAGGCATCTTTTGCGATGTCTGTGCATCACAGCAGCTACGCATGTACGCTATGCAAGAGGGCTAGGATAAGAAGGGATATTCCACCTTCCTAGGAACGGCGTTTGAGCCAGTCAGAAAAGAATAAACATGCAGCTCAATGACGAAAGACTAAAATAAAACAAGCAAATATCATAAAAAATATGGTTTTTATATTGATTGGAGCCAATAAAAGTGATATTACATGAGCCTAAGAAGACAAGTAAAGAGAATACAGCGCGAGTAACATTGTAATTTATTGAAAACAAAGATTAGGCAACAGGGTATGAAAAAATGACGCAAGCCTAAACTGCCAATCTCGTTTGCCTGCACATCTAACTTTTCTGGTGCGATCAATAATGTCTCGAGAGGGCAACGATATGGCTTCCAGTTGGCAGCCACAATACAGCGTTATGAATTAAGGCTGCCTTCTCATAGCATTGATGCGGCCCGCTGACAGAAATCCTGTATTCGCATCCCCATCGTTTCACGGTCGCTGCCAGCTTAATGGAGTCGCTGCCTCATCGTCGACTTTTGACTGCTTTTGTAGGAATGAATGCGCTCTGCAGCTATTTTCTGACTCATGGAAGATTATAGCTGCCCGCTGGTAGCCCGTCGCTGCCCGCTCACCGTCATTCCTACAATGTTGTCGCCCGCTCACTGCCACTTTTGCAGTATCGCCGCCCGCTTAGTGAAACTGCTATTTATCGCCGTCTCACCATAGCCTTTGATTGTCTGAGTTATTCTTTGCAACGATCCATACCGCACTTATACAATTAATAAATTCAAATGTGGTTAGTTTCCGAACATACCTATGAATGATGAGTTTCCTTATTTGTTGAGACTACTTTTAGTGTTTGCAAGAATTAGGAAAACGCAGATTGTAGATGTCACTACACTCACGCACTCAAGCACACCTCTGTGATCTAGTAGTCACTATTCCATGCCTATTTTATGTATGTATGGTTCGTATGGTTTTTCTTTGCTAAATTGTAAAGCTCTCACTAGCGGACGACATTTTGTAGGTAGTACAGATTTTTGCTGTCACGTTTGTACTCTAATAAAACGAATGATTGGAGAATTTGTAAAATCAAAGAAGAAATACCCCACTACTCCAACATTTCTAAATTACATGTTAGCGCTAAATCTGAAGCAGAACAAACTTAGCAGGGGAGTATGAATCTATCTGCATGTCTTGCGCTCATACTTAATCAATTTCAGTGATTTAGGGAATCTCTTTGAAAGTGTGCCTCAAGCCAATTTTTTCGAACCATGCCCCCCACATCCAAGAAAAACCTTCACTATTGACAGCTATAGCTATTGACATTATTCTATATCATAACCGTATCAAATAAAACGTTCAATATTCAGCTGTTCGTTCCTAAAAGTTTTGAATTTTTAAATAGAAAAACTTAATTGTCGAAAAGCAATAAGGAACAATGATTAGTGCATGTAAAGGAGGGCGCCACGCCCTCTTTTTCTAGATTTTAGGGGTCATGGGCCCGCAAAAGTTTTGAGAAGCACATCAAAATTTTTTCGGAGTGCTTGGCTAACGCCAGGCACCTTTATTTGAAATTAAATTGCCTCCCTCTCCCCCCCCCCCCCCGGACAAAAATCCTGCGACCGCCATTGATTATACGGATGTCTATTGTAGGGAATGTATGCGTGGACAACGATTTCCATCAAGTTTGAAGCCAACACATAAGTTTTCCAGAAGCTCGTTCCGTTTTTCGATTTGTCATAAAAACACGTGTAAAAAGAAGAGCACATGTTTTGAGAACTATTGGATACAGCTTTTTTCCTCTCTTCAATAATTTTGTTTCTGAACCGTTTACTTCTGTGCTCACAAAATAATCAACAAATTTCCGAACTGGTTTTTGTTACACCCAAGTTTGGCAAACAAATTACTTAGCAAACGCCACTTTTACATTGCAAATGAGCATTCACCGCTTCGAGACATCGAATATTCTTACGGGTACAGCCATAAGTTCGAAAATTCACAGTTCAAATGATTTCATCTCTAAATCTTCATACATCGGGAAGAAAAATGCCTATTAAAAAAGGAGTAGAGGTTCGTCGAAGAGTGCCCGAGTTGCTTGTGGTTGATGCTCTGCAAGGTTTGGCTTAGAAAATTGAAATTTGTAAATATCAGAAAAATAATTTTAGTGATTTTGGGAAGCCATCTGGAGATGCCAAAAAATTCTAGCGTTGCACTTTGTTTCCTCTAGCCAGCTGTTGTCAAAACGCAATAGAAACTCTGACAAATTGCCAAACTTGGGCATGGTAAGAAAAATGGGGTAAAATTTCTTGGTATGAGAAAAGTTATCTTGGTATGAGAAGAGCAAATAACCTTTGTGCCCGTCAGCTTCGGACGCTTTGGAGTCTTTGATCCTCGGTAGAAGCACAGGAGACAGGATAAATAGAAAAAGAGGCAATGAGTGAACAATTGAACTGAGTGAGACGACTCAATTCCTGCGCACTCTGAGGTTGCGATCGACTACGCAACGCAGATCACTATGAGGAACCACTAATTGTTTACAATCACAGCAGTATCAAAACGCGACTGCTGGAAAGAAAACGAAAAACTGCGTCGAATAATTTTCAAAGTGTTCGCTTATCTTTGCCCTACGCGTTTTTATGATAGCTTCAAACGGAAGGAACTTACGGAACGACCTAATATGTGTATACACGCCTGAGCGAGCTAAAGTGGAAACGCGTAG